TCTCTCTCAGGTGCTTGGCTGGTTGGTTCTTGCTCACATGCTCAGGGTCTAACTGAAAGTCATAGAGGGGGTTGGGAAGGAATTTTCCCCCAGGTCAGATTGGCAGGGACCTTGGGGTGTTTTCACCTCCCTCTGCAGCATGTGGGTGCAAGTCACTTGCCAGGATTATCTGGGTACAGCTCACTTAATCATTTCCCTGCCATTGCAGGGGCCTTGGGCACTGGTGCACCTCGGTCCCTCCTATTCTCTGCCTGTGGCACATCATAGTAGGGCGGTAATACTTTGGTCTCATTTCGTGTGCTGGGTTTAGTGCGTGGGTGCTGGGTGGTATTGTTGGCCTGTGCTATACAGGAGGTCAGAGTAGATGAGCTAGTGGTCCCGTCTGGCTTTAAGCTTTTTGACTCTGTGATTTAAATGGAACTGTTTAGACTGACGCTTGATGCAGATTAGGCCCATAGTGTTACTGTGCTTCATGAGGTGGAGAGAAGGTGAGGGGTTGAAAGAGTTTGCTTCTATTTTCTTTGCTTGCTGCTTCTCTAGGCATTCACCTCCTCCCAGACTCACGTGGGAGGAGGTGACTGCCTAGAGACAGGCAGCCTTGTGAGGCTACCTGGCAATCCTGATTAACACAATGTTGGACACCATCCTCCACCTTCAGTCCAATTTAAACCAGTGGAAGATGGGTACAGCGAAGGCCAGCTGAGGTGAAGATGAGACTGATGACAGCCTCCCAGACTCTGCAATCGGAGTTAGGAGCCTAAATACCTTTGAGGATCTGGGGATGATGGTGTTTCTACAGCAGTAGCATCCAGAGGACCAAGGTGTGTGTCGGGCTGGATGCTGTACAAACACATAACAAGAACAGTCCCGTCGCTGCATGCCTCTGTTTCCCCTGTAAAAGGTGGATAGTTATGCCCACCTTTATACAACCCTTAATGATTCTCAGCTGAAATTCTCAACACCATCCTCAGAGCTGGAATTCAAAAACTGCCCATGGAGCTCTTAATTTGTGTCATGAACAGGTAAGTTGTGTAAAAAGGTTAGTTTTCAAAAAGACCATTTCCTGTTCTTCCAGAAGGGCGGGCTAAAGCCACCCCGATGCCTTCATACCTCCCAGGTAGCTGTGAGTAAAGGAGGCAACTTCGTTAGAAAGTGCCACATCCCCACTCTGCATCGCTGCCCCACACCTCTTCCCACCGAGCAAATGGTGACTAGCATCATAAGGGGATTAGGGCACAGGGTTATTAGAGTCCTGGGAGCTAAATTATTTCTCAGTCAGCTACTTAGCATGAAAAGGTAAAGAAGGGGCATATTTCAAAATAGGAGGGCTAGTGCCTGGGGGTGATAATGACAGGGAGACAGAGGGGGACAGATGCAGAAAGCAGTCACTACTGCTTACAGTGCAATCTCTGTAGAGGGGCATAGATCCTGCAGGAGTATTCTGCTACTGCTAATGGGGTCACCTACTTAATAGGGCTCCCCATGAGGCCTAATGGAGAGGGAGAAATGGAGGGAAAGGGGGCAGGCCTGAGAGAGGAGGGTGGAGTCTAGATAGAAATTGATTGGGACCTTCTCTACAGGTGGCTGGTTTGCAGCCCTGTGACTCCACCTGCTGAGGCTGATTCATCCCCTCATCTATTAAGGAATCCTGGCATTGGAGCTGCAGCTGTGGGAAGGTTTGGACTTTTTATAGCGGGGCAGTGAAAAGCAAAACAGTGTAGAGGGGAAAGACTAGTTGTGTTAGAGTCTCTTTTTCTACACCTCTTCCCCCCTTTTCTCCTTTGTTTTTTGTTGGATGGGGGTGGCAACTTGGCTTTAGTGTACTTTCATGTGGCCATGGGAGCAACTGTGCAATTCCTCCTGTTTGTTTTTCTCTTCACTCAATGTGGTAAGTGAGTCCCTCCTTGTTCTAGCTCAAGGGCATGAAAGCAGAGACTGCAAGAAGCCGTGGTGCTGGGCTAGGCAGAGCTCTGCCCAGGAGGCTGTACTGGGATTCTCATTGAGCCCCTGCATAAGGCCAGAGTGGAGTTGAAGGACTTTAGAGGGTTATTTTCTCAGTCTAGAGAAGAGGCAAGAACCCCGTGCCCCTCTGAATGGACTAATTTATGCCTCAAAACATAAGGTTGTGCCATGTGACTTTATAACTTGTGAGCCAAGTTCCAAACGAAGTGAGAAACTTGGTCAAAGCTTAAAGTTTGTGCTACCAAATGTCAGACCATGAAGCAGACACCACTTAAAAATCCCCTCTGGGTGGTTTGCTTCACAATTGTTCCCCTTTCCCTGCCCCTTATAACTTTGTCTCTTGGTGGCTGATATCAGTGATGAAATGTAGTCAAGTGTAATAGGAGTGGGCTGTATACTGTGTGTCTTCTTGGCATCTCAACCATGTCAGTCCCTGATCTCCATGTGCAATGGTTAACTAGAGCAGGGGTTCTCAAACTTCATTGCACTGTGACCCCCTTCTGGCAACAAAAATTACTACATGACTCCAGGAGGGGGGACCAAGGCCTGAGCTTGCCCAAGCCCTGCTGTCCTGGGTGGTGGGGCCAAAGCCCCAAGGGCTTCAGCCCCAGGCAGGGGGCCTGTAACCTGAGCCCATCATCCGGGGCTGAAGCCCTCAGGCTTCAGCCCTGAGTGGTGGGGCTTGGGTTTCAACTTTGGCCCTGGGCCCCAGCAACTCTAAGCCAGTCCTGGAGACTCTGTTAAAATGGAGCTATGACCCACTTTGGGGTCCTGACCCACAGTTTGAGAACTGCTGAGCTAGAGAAATTCGGCATGATCAATTATATAAACCGTAATTTGAGCAGGAGCAGCTGTTACCCCTTCCCTGTACTACTTATCTGCTACTACACCTGTTCTTTTTCTTCTTTCTTCAGGAGAGATCCCCAGTCAAGTTAAACTGTAATGTGTACAAATGATGATAAATAGGCTGAATCCACTAAACTCAAACTGGTGACCTAAGAAAGCTCTGAACAAGCTGGGGCTCAGAGCAATGTTCCCCAGCTGTTATTGTTTGTGTTCATAAAGCCTTCCTACCTGTCCTCCTTTATTAGTTAAAATACTAATGAACCTATGCCTTGACCCCCAAGACCTTCACTAGATTATAAGGGACTCCTCCCAGAAACACTTCCGGGGGAGAGGGGTAAAATGGTGCATGTTGGAAGCACAGTAAATTCTCCAGAGCAGAGGATGTCAGGAAGGTAACATTGTACAGGGGAACCCCGTGGCCCTCAGAGCAACTTACAAATGTTTTTCACATAAAGATCACAATAAATAAGCTTGGAAGGATTAGATGTTTGTTTCACTGTACACACACAAATGATGAAAAATATTTCCATCAATAACTTAAATTTACAGATAGGCAAAATAAGAAAAATGCTCTTTGAGAGCTGAGTTTGATTTGATATTTACTTTGTATATTTTGACATGGGACGATGCCAATTTGTGTTTTTAATGGTTATAAAGCTTTAGTTTTTGAATCTTGTCTACTGTCCTCAAATAATTATCTGACTTCCCTGATAATTTTGGGAAACTGAAACATTTAAATGGATAAAAAATAAAAATATATTTTCTGTTGAAATCCTAAAAAAAATCAAATTCTGCCAAACCTAACACTAAAAAGCCTGGCTGGAAATGATGTAATTAGCTGTGAGACTGTCTAGCATAGCTAATTCTCTATGGTGCTTGCTATTCCTCCCTTGTTAGCATTGCCTCTCTCCCCACCTAGCTCAATGGTCATCTTCCCATGAAAGCCTGTTTATTTTCCACTGCTTACAACAGTCCTGACATGTTGCTAAGACAACAGTGCCCTTAGGCATATGCATCCCGGAGTCCCTTGTCTATCCATCCGACCCACCAAGCATGGGCCTAGTTCTAAATAAGAGGGATTTACCCCAATCAGAAGGCTTTGAATGCTGCTGCCTCTTTCTGAGCTTTCTGGGGTCATTCAGGGCCTTTAGCCTAGTGGTGGCAGGGAGCGGAAAACATTTTTCTGGAGACTCAGTGGTAACAAAATTCAGTTTAAAAGCAAGAAGAAAATATTTTTATGCTCTGGGTAGGGACTCCAGCTTGTTTCTCTGTAGAAAACATTGTGGGAATGGAAGCTTCTTCTGGAGAGATGCTGATTCCCAACTATTTACCATCCTAGTCTCAATTCCACAGGACAAGTTCTCTATATGGCTCACCACAAAAGTCATAGATGAGGAAATGTGGGGCTTTAATTTGGTTTGAACTCATACAAAGCTTTCTAAAACCTCCATGGCGTGATCCTTCATTTCTGATGCCAATGGTAATTAGCCAAATTAAAGAATGAGCAAACAAAACCCCTTCAGGTTTGTGTGGAACCAAGATAAAAATGGGGTCTCCAATGAGTGACATTCGTCCACATTGCAGGGCAGTGTTAGGGCTAAAGGAGTATAGAATCCTGTTCCATAGCATCTGCTTGTGAAAGAGCCAATGACATTTAGTAACTAGATTCTGGTCTCTGGACCAGTATTGATTGGGAATGACTTCCAAGGAGTTACTTCAGGCTGATGCCAGTGAAAATGAGATCAGAATCCAGCCTTTAGTGCGTGTGTGTGTGTGTGTGTGTGTATATAAGCACAAAGCTGTGGCAACTTGGCATTCTGTCTAGGCTAGAACTGAACAACTATCCGGTACTTTTAGGTTTCACTTTGCGTGTGTTTCATTTGTGGTGGTGGTGGGGAAATTCCACCTGTTCCTGTGGGAAGTGTGTTGGCCTTGAACTAATGATGTAGTGCTTACAGCCCACTCAGGTGCAGGAACAGACCAGCTGAGTGGTGCAGAAGAATTGCTGTTGTCCCATCAGGGGAGGAGCCAGAATGCTGAAGATCTATCTGTCTCTGAACCATCCAGCCTGGGGATACGGGACCCTGGTATGAGGAGTTACCATTCAGTAGCTCTTTTCTTTGTGTCTCAGATCTTTACAATCACTTGTGTATATTGTTAACTGTGATTAATAACTTTCTGCAGTGGATAAGATGAAGAGGGGTTTCTTCAGGCCCCGGCATGTCTTCTGCCAGGTCTGTGAAACAAGTACGTTATTTTCTGCTGGGTGATTTCCTCCCCCCCCCCCCAAAAAAAAACATAAATGAGATTGCAACAGATTTATTTTGAACTTCCTGGTTTATTACAGTACCTAAAAGCAAACCAGACACAACTGGCCACAATCCTATTTTCCCTCTGTTTGTCCCTCAAGTTTCAAAGGTACAATCGCTTCTCAAATGGATTCAGGGAATATATGTCTCTTTGGACTGCTTGTCAACCTGAAGCAAAAGATTGCAAGCTGACCCTGTTCAATTCAGCCAGAGAGAGAGGATCTTTCATAACTGACTCTAGCTGGCCCCTTTGTGTACTGCACAAGGGGCTTTTTAAACTTGAAAGTAGTAAATACTCAATTAAATATTTAATATTGCAGAGCCCTCTTGGGTACTGAAAAAATAGATTAAACAGGCCAGCACTATATCCCATAGCACTTGTTAGGTAACTTTACAAGTGCCAATAACATTTGATCAGTAATAGTTTTGTCATCTTTATTCTTTCTTCAACTGCTGAGTGAATGAATAGCTTTGATACATTTGATGGCAGCTGAATTAACTATTAAGCACCATCACACTTAAGACAAATTGACTTCAGTCTCTCGCACATTCTGATTTATTCTCTAGACACACCATTCCTGTGCACTCTATATATTCTACACCTGAGTTCGCTTCATTTTGGAAGTCAAACTTAGTACAGTAGAATTTCAGAGTTACGAACACCTCGGGAATGGAGGCTGTTCGCAACTCTGAAATGTCTGTAGCTCGAAACAAAACGTTATGGTTATTCTTTCAAAAGTTTACAACTGAACATTGACTTAATACAGCTTTGAAACTTTACTATGCAGAAGAAGAATGGTGCTTTCCTTTTTTTAAAAAAGTAGTTTACATTTAACACAGTACTCTACTCTATTTGCTTTTTTGGTCTCTGCTGCTGCCTGATTGCGTACTTCCAGTTCCAAATGAGGTGTGTGGTTGAGTGCTCAGTTCATAACTCTGGTGTTCATAACGCTGAGGTTCTACTGTTGAAGGCAGTCGTTCTCAACCTTTCCAGACTACTGTACGCCCCGATTCGTCTTGCATACCCCCAAGTTTCACCTCAGTTAAAAACTACTTGCTTACAAAATCAGACATAAAAATACAAAAGTGTCACAGCCACACTATTACTGAAAATTTTCTTACTTTCTCATTCTTACTGTATAATTATACAATAAATCAATTGGAATATAAATATTGTACTTAGAGCAGTATACACAAGTCATTGTCTGTATGAAATTATAGTTTGTACTGACTTCACTAGTGCTTTTTATGTAGCCTGTTGTAAATCTAGTCAAATATCTAGATAGGTTGATGTATCCCGGGGAGGAGGGGGGAGTGTACCCCTGATTGAGAACCACTGGTTTAAGGCTTTGTAATCCAATACTTAAACATGCAATACCCAGTATTGGCCACTAGGGGTTCTGTTAGAGGTTGATTACAAAATCAGCTTTATGTCCTACTGAGACTCCCGAGGCTGTACACTCGTATGTATCAATGTCGTTTCAGTGCATAACATTTTCCTTTCTGTCTGGTGTAGGATTGAAATGTGGAGTTCGTCCTGTTGACTTGGAGAACCAGAAAAATTTCCTGCTGTCTGGATTCTTTTCTAGAATTGTTGGAGGCAGAAATTCAGTGGCTGGGGGGCAACCCTGGCAGGTCTGTGACACAAATACAGTAACTTCTTGAGGGAGAGGTGATTTTTTTTCCCCCAAGGCATAGACGATAACTGAGAGGATGCCTTCATTCAGTAAGGAGCCAAATACCCTTTCTCAACCTGTCTTAATTTAAAATCCCTCTTCTCCCTTAATCCCTGAAGTTACTAAAGTACAAGTTGCTCACAGTTTTGGGGACCAGAGTTTTAGGTGGAGTAAATTCACTGAATTCAGTGGTGCTATGCTGAGTTACATCAGCTGAAGATCTAGTCCTGAGTGTTTAATGTACATGGTATTTTTGTGTCCGAACTGGTCCCCAAAAGCACATCCCTGTCCCAAAGGATTTGGATGTAATCTGTGGGGTGGATTAGTTTGAGCGACTTTTCCCCTATAACTGATAACTCTGAGGTTACGTCTGACCTTCAGGGAATAAGTTCCAAACTGTTATGCCTCTAACATACAAAAATTGTCCCGTTCATATAAGGAAACAGCCCACATTTTAATAACAGTATTGCGTACTGGCCTTCTGTTGGCTGTAAGAGTCCTAACATTCATCTGTCGCTTCTTCATAGTAGCTCAAAATGCTGGATTAGCTGTATTTGTGGTGGAGGAATTCTTGCCTAATTGGTTCTTCTGTTGGCAAAGTCAGGGAAGTCTCACTTCACAGAAATGTTCTCACTCTGCAAACTTAAATTCATGTAATAAAAGGATTGGGTCACTGCTTCCAGACTTTCATTTTGAAGCAAATTAGCAATTTTTGACACTGTAACATTACTACTTCCTGTTACTATGGTCCTATCTTCACCCCATGAAACAATTTCTGGTGTTACATAACAGTAAGAAGGAAGAACAAAACTCTCCCTCTTGGCACTTCTGCATTTCAGGGAATTCCAAGTTTCGATCCACACTCTGCTTCTTCAGCTCTTCCCAAATATCTGTGAAATTAGGGATAGCTATCAAGGGTGAGTCCACAATTTAGACAACATTTCTCTGGACACCAGTCATCTGGGAATCCTTGTCTAGAAATGAGAGGGTTCAAAACCTCCCTTTTTTGAGCACTGCCATCTGTCGTGATCTGGGGGAGGGTGAAGAACTTCCTCAGATCGTTGTGAGATTTCAGATGTTCTTTTGGAGGGCAGTTTAACTAGCTCCACCTTAAATGTGTGTGACTTTCTTTTTGTAAAGGTATCTCTCAAGTTGGGTCGTTTCCACTTCTGTGGTGGCAGTTTAATACAAGAAGATGTGGTTGTAACTGCAGCTCACTGCGTATTCACCCTTGAGCAGTAAGTTAGAGAATACTGTTTTTGTCTTTAGCCTTTAAGTTACTTCGTTAAAGCCCCTGTCTATTAGTAAGGAAAGCTCCATAATGTTAGTGTGTGCTGCTTCCCAGCTGGAGAAGAAAATGCCATTAGAATATCTGAAGTAGGGCCGTGCTATGCTACACTCACGTTCTCTTTGTGGAGCAATAGCGTCTAATCCAGGGGTCCTCAAACTGGGGGTCAGGGCCCCTCAGAGGGTCGTGGGGTTATTACATGGGGGGTTGCGAGCTGTCTGCCTCCACCCCAACCCCGCTTTGCCTCCAGCATTTACAATGGTGTTAAATATATTAAAAAATTTTTTAATTTATAGGGGGGGTGTCTCACTCAGAGGCTTGCTATGAGAAAGGGATCACCTGAACAAAAGTTTGAGAACCACTGGTCTAATCCATTGGGTTTTTCCAACTGTTTCATTCTGCAAGCTACTTCAGGAGCTATAGATCTTAATGGCTCTTCTGCATGGCTTAATTTGTGCTGGGGCTTGCAAGGGCAGTTCATAGTCCCAGCACCTCTGGGCTCGCTGAACCTTTTATGAAAGTAAAAAAAAAAAAATTGCTTGAGCCCTGGCGCCTCTTTCATTACAAATTAAGCCCTGCTCTTCACCCCTCCCCAAACCCTAGCTGCCCACTCCATGGTTCTCAGAATATTTCACCTGATTACTGGTGGTTCACAGATGGCAATTTAAAACCTTCACCGTTCTCTACATGGATTAAATAGTAGTAGAGCTCATGATGGCTGGGACTCTGACTTTGCTAGCTGAGTATTGTACTTTGAGTGAACATACTCTGTCCCAAGAAGGAGCTTTTTCTTTGCTGTGTAGAGATGGAGCTGTGGATTGAATCCAGACTTCCAGAGTCTTAGTCCAGTGAAAAACCATCCTACCCCTCTGTCACCCTCCTGTACAGACTAGATCAGGTTTGTACACAACTTGGATACTACTTGTCCTTCTCAAGAGAATATAGTAAATACATTGCAAGTAAAAATAAGGGGATCACCTGTAAGTTTAGTGTACAATAAAGATTAAATGGAGCTTACTAATTAACATGGTAAATGCTAAAAGAAGTAACCCAGTGTGATTGATTGTCCTAGGCAGCACCAAAATACCTGAGTTCATTAAGCACAATGCCACATTGCTGTGTTCATAAACCCCCAAGAGCAGTACCAGAGACATGACTGTTTCCAAATAAATATTAAACATTCGTCTCAAGTATATGTAACCTCCTAAAGCCCCCTCAAAGGTTTTATTCTCTTGGGCTCTCCTCCGCCTCCAAATCTTCTCCTCTAGGTGCCCCCTTCTCCCAAACATGATGAATTAAAAACAAGCAGGGGATTTTTTTTAAAGGGCCCAAAAGAACTTAAGCACTCATCTCCCACTGATTTAAGGTGCCTTGGAACTCTCTAAAGATCCCAGTCTAAAGGCTGCAGGTCATCCATTGTTGCAAGCAGAATCCAGGCCAAAGCTTATGAGTCCTTGTATTACTGAGTGGGAAGTAGAACAAAAAGCCAGCCAATTAAGAAATAAAATCTCACAACAGTATTCTAGCACTCTGACTCTGAGCAATGCGGCCCCTTCAGGCATAAGGCCAAGTGAAAGTAGCATAGCTGGAAAAAGCCTGCTATTGAAGGCTAGATTCAGGTCCTCAGCAGGGAAGGATGTGGTAAGGTCACATTTTCCATGTGTTGAACTTCTCAGTAATGAGAGAATTGCTTGTACATAGCTGTTTCTTATAGGAAATTATCAGCCTTGGCTCCATGCGTAACAGGCTGAAGTGTGTTGGCAAACCTCTCCGTCATTAACCTTGCCCTTTGTTTGTCAGGAAACTAGTGAAGAATCTCATTGTGACTGTTGGAGAACATAACCTCAGAAAGGCAGACGAGCAAGAACAGAACATTCCTGTCTCACAAGTCATTGTTCACCCTGACTTCAACAGACTTGGCTACATGCATTCTGATATCGCTCTGCTATATCTGAAATACAGAGTAAAGTACGGTAAGGGAGGAGACTGAGTGAAAGTGCTTCAGAGCGGATCTTTCACGATATATAACTTGCTAGTTTAGAGCAACCTTTTATTCTCCTATCTCTCTGTAATGCTCTTTCCAGCATATAAAACACCCTCCTGGTAGTGTCTTTACTCCTGCCCAAGTAGGTTACCCATGCTAAATCCAGTCTAGTCTTAGTGACCTTGTCCAAATAATTGTCCCTCAAGTCAAGTCTTTGTTCTGGGGCTTCTCATGTTTTGTTCATACTACTGATCTTTGCAACACTAGAGAGCACAAAAAGTCAAATTGTCTTCCGGTTGTAGTAATTCTATATTTTCTTTACCTCTCGGAAAGTTCTCTCCTCGCTAATTAGCTTGCCCCTCTTGTCCGCTTCATTCAGCACCACCAGTCTCCACTGTTTGTGATAGTGGAACTTTTCACTGTAGGAAGAGATGTGATGCCACAAACAGCAGATTGTTCCATCATTGAATGGATCTGGCAAAATGAGAAGATGGCTTAAATTTAAATGCACATCACCCTGTTTTAAACACACATAATCCAGTATCTGTCATAGTGGCAAAGGTGAACACAAGGGAAATTTTAAAGCCATTTTAAAAGGCTTTCTGGAGTGTGGCTTTTTGCATACAGATTCATAGAGGGTCAGGAGACCACATGGGATATGTAGATCCTTTCACTGCTTTATCAAATCCCACCCAAGTCGGCTGTGATTAGCTACCTGATGGTAACAATTCCAATCAGTGGCTCTTCTAAAATGACTTTGGTCTTAGTCTAGCTCCCAGTGGACAGGTGTCTACATCACAAAATCATTGTGATAAATAGCACTAAAGTTGCACCTGTTTGCTGCTCTGAGTGGAGAAGATTGAATGGGTATGGAAAACCAAACTACGCTTGTTAGCCAGGAAGTGATCAGTTGAGGCCTGTTGATGGGGCAGTGAGAGGAAGCTTGCTTTACTACTACCTATTTACCTATTTTGTGGATAAAGAAACTTAAGTCTCCAGTCATAATGCTTGAAAACAGCTTTTGAGTCATCTGGATGATCCCTCCAGGAGAAGGTGGGCCTGTCTTCTACACTGGTAAGTGTTCTTTAAGGTTTGTCAATAAATTAATTAGGCCATGACAAGTCAAGTAGCTTTGATCCCTTTCTCCTCTGATCCCCAAAAAGAAACCTACAAAGATATTCACCTAGTTCGAGAACAGAGCTGAGCATTTGAGTTTTGAATGTCCTGTGTAAATCAGAACTCCACTTCTTTTGACACATGGTCAGCATTCTTGTCTTCAGAGAATAGAATGCTCAACAGGATCTACAACTGGACACGATTGCAGGCTGTATGAGAATTGTACATAGGACAGTTCTCTTTTCTGTCCTTCATGCTGTTGCTCCTTTTCCCTCCCTCCCCCACCCCCGGTCTCTTTCCTCTAGTCTTGTTCTTGCTGCTTACGTTTCACTTGAACATGGCCGGCCAAAACATTGTTCACATTAGTTTCTCTAAAACAATGTGATGTCTCAAGATTACCTCCATTTAAAAGTGATTGACTTGACTTATTTTTAGCCGTTTGATTGAATTGCTTTAGAAAAATGTGTAGTTCAAAGGACCTTGATCCATTCTGTTCACACAAAGGACATTGTTGCTTTTATCTGGTTGGTGCAGAGAGAATTGCTTCCGAACAGCCTGGAGTTGATGTACTCACATATGTGTGCACTTTCCTTCTTAGGACATCGGGTTCAGCCAATTTGCCTTCCCCACAAAGATGATAAATTTGAGGCCGGGACTCTTTGTGTTGCTAGTGGCTGGGGCAGAGTGTCTGAGGGTAAGTAAAATGTCAGGTTCTTACGATGACAACATTGATGTGTGGGTAATGAGATAAAGAAAAGGGAGCCGCCCTGTTTCTGCAACAGAAATGCAACATCTGCCAAAGGGAAAAGCCAATCAGTGGTTCTCTATTTTGCTGATACCATGACGAACCATCCTATGCTCTGGAGGTCTCTTCCAGATGTGATGTGCAAAGGACCAGTGTGCCAGAAGCACTGTCCTAGGCAGAGCCTTGGAATCTCCATACCTGTTACTCTGCAGCTCCATAGCGCTATTCCTCCACCCATCTCACAACTTTTTGTAAACAATTAATTAAGCTCCATAACACCCTTGTGAAGTAGAGAAGTATCCTCCTCTCCCCTCGCCCCATCCCAATCATGTGGATGGCAAAACTGAAGCACAAAGATGACTTGGTGAAGGGCTAGATATAAAACCCAATCTTCTGATGCCCAAGTTCCATGATCTAGTTGTAATCTTTGTGCGTTACATAACCACTAGATGATGCATCTCTGCCTTCTTCCTAGTTTTTTTTTAAGATATATAATGGGATCACTTGGGCCTTAATGTTCTTTTAACAGTTTGTGTGTGTAAATTATTAAGGTTGCAAAGTCAAGCACTCAAAAATTAATCAATGCTAGAAGTAAGGTTGCTTGTGCATAGCATTATGTAGCCCTTTATATGTTCAAAGCAAAAATCCCATAGACTTTGCTGCAGCACAGAGAAACAGGCCTTCTGATCTCAATTCCAGTGCCCAGAATCAACCGTACTCAGGCCAGTTCTAATGGTGAGTGAGCAGGGCTGTCATCCTGGGTGCCAACTACCAGGGGGTTCTGTACCAGTGTGCTGCTTGGCTCTTTTTTGCTCCATTCTCCTTGGCTGGCCATTTTTGTTCTGCTGATTGCCTGGCCTGTTTTTGACTCCGCTGCTTGGGAGCACCAGAAACATTTTCCATCCTGGACGGCAAAATGGGTAGGGCTGCTACTGCCCCTACCTGAATCAGCCATTACAGGAAATGTCCTTCTGAGCCCGCATAGCCCTGGGCTGGAGGGAACATGCTCAGTCACTGTGAATGCATAATCCAGTTGCATGGAGAAATTGTGAGGGGATGGAGGATGCAATCATCAGAAAGTTTATGTGGAGAAATAAAAAAAAGTCTCTACTGAGCATTTGGAAGCTGCAGTTTCCCCCCCCCCCCCCCAAGACTGCCTAAATTTGTTATAAGACTTTCATGAGGACAGTAAAAGGCACATCCCTGACACCAAGGCCATCCCCCTGCTAAACTACAGGTCCCTGCTCCAAAGCTGGGAGCACCAGAGCAGTTAAGAGAAAATGTCACTAGAATGATTTTCCCAGGGAAAATCAGTGTATTTTTTTCCCCTAGCCTTGTTCGTGGATATGGCCGAACCATTTCGGCTGAAACTTTGCCTCAGGCTGAATTGTTTCCACCAACGTGGAAAATGTTAGCTCAAACGGTTCTAGTTTGGCGAAATTGTACAAACCTGAAAACAAGGCCTGTTAACGAGAGGTCTCAGCTAATCGAAATAAGAGGCGGCATTGCCGGCCCTGCCTGTGTGATACTGAATGAAATCATGGTAGCTAGGATATGGCTATAGATCTGCAGCGTAACTTCCTGCTCTGTGCAGCAAGGAGGGGGGTTCTAGAATGTCTGATGTTGCCTGTTTCCTTCCTTCTGCAGCTGGTGAACTATCTAATGTTCTACAGGAGGTGGAGCTCCCCATCATTGATAGGGGAACCTGCAGTGCCCTGTTAAAGCAAATGCATCTGCCTCCAGTAGCAAGCTCCATGCTGTGTGCTGGCTTTCCTGATGGTGGGAAGGATGCTTGCAAGGTAAAAGGTCATCATTCTGCAGGGTCTTCCTGTATAGTGAGTTCTGCAAATGGAGGCAGACTCCAATCCTTCCCACCAGCCACTCCTGTATTCTTGCTTACCAGAATGGCCACCTGCCCTAAAGAGGGAAGGGAGGAGGAGGAAGGAAAGGAAACTTGTCCATTACTACTAGCACATTGCTACTGAACTGAGGCCTTAAAAGGAGCTTTAGGCTAATGAAGGCCTTGTCTATCCTAGCCTTTGGGGGGAATTTTCCCACTGGTAGGAGTGCTGCTATAGACAAGGAACTGGTGTGTTTAACCACCTTTTTGTCTAGACCTGGCCTGAATGGGATTAAATGACATGGTGAATGATATGCCTGATCCCTGTCTAAGCTACTGTTGCTACCACTGGTGAAATTGCACAGATGGGAGCACAGTGGCGGCAGGCGGCCCAAGAGGCTACAGGAGACACAGCCTAAGGGGTACGTGATACCACTGTACTGGGAGAGAGGAGGCTGAAGTGAGTTTTTTTGCCTTCTCTTTAGGCTTTAAAAAACATACCTTGACCATTTCTACTTGGTGTATTCGTTTCTCTTGTAGTCACCTCTCCTCCCCATATCTATCAAGCTGCTGGCAGCTGTGTCCATCAGAACACCAGCCTTTCCCATGCTTTCTCTGGTAGAAGGGTGCTTCTACTGCCAGGAGACCAAGTCATTCTCCCCCGCCCCCTGCAGTGCACACACAGTCCACTGTGCTACCGTTGCGGGAGGGCCAGGTGTATTCCGCTGGTTGAGGTACTGCCGCAATGCGGACGTTAACATCTTAGTGCGAAGGGGGCAGAAATGGTTAACAGATGTATAGTGACGCTGAACCTTTCTGTCAATCTTCCAAAGAGTGGCAGCTTCTTCTCTGAGAGGTGAAACCATGAGGTGATTCACTGAATCTGTATCATCGCATTTGAACAAATATCTGCTCTTTTTTCCTGTCTCCTCCCCCAACCTGGGCAAGGGCGATTCTGGAGGTCCTCTCGTGTGTAGAAGAGCCAGTGGCATCTGGACTCTGGCCGGCGTCACATCATGGGGAGTTGGCTGTGCAAGAGGCTGGGATGTCCTTGAGAAAAGCATCAGTAAAAGGGGTTCCCCAGGCATCTTTTCCAATGTAGCTGAACTGATGGACTTCATCACCCAGAACATTATCCCTGGTAGGTACATTTACCAGCAATTTTTCTCTTTTCCTGCTTGTTTATCATGAGGTTCTAGAAGATACCTGCCATGTGCCCCACGGACCCAGTTAGGCTCTAGAGTGTTTCCATCAAGGTGCACATAGTGTGAAGCATTTCTCATTTTAGAGCAGGAAGTGGGGAAATGAAGGTTAAACCAGAACTACCACCTCTCTTGGAACAGCATCTGTATCTAGGTCCCTCTCCCATAATGCTTTGAGGGCAGCTTTGATCCACATGCCCCACTAAATGGAATGTTGATGGCCAATCCAGCTAGCATTTCCGGGTGCATGTGGTTTTGTTGATTTAGAGAAGCACTTCTCTGGCCTAGAACACTTGTCCAGTTCCAATAAATTACATTTTCTAATCCTTGTCAACTGGGAATCTGTAAATTGCTATTGTAGAATCCCTGAAATGGTCCACACTATTGATTTGGAGCAAATATGACTTTAAACACACACACGGAGCAGATCTGTGGAATAAGCTTGCCCTTTTTTTTTTTTAGTTGATTATCAGAACTACACATTTAAAGCTATAAACAGATCTATGAATTCCCTATCGTCCAACCATACACTTAAAACTGCAGTTCAAATAGAACCTATTGAATAGAGGGCATTATTTATGACCTACACTTCACCTGTGCTATTACTTATTTGCCACAATATCTTGTTGGGGCTGATCTCCTCATAAAGGGAAGAACCAGTCTGCAACCATACAGTGCCTCTTACTCTGGAATAATATTAAGTAGAAGCAGAATAAAAAATGTTCACATGAACCCTGCAGAGCAGAACTTGGAAGATTCCTGCAACTCAAACTACGAGCATAGTTGGAGAATGACCAGAATTAAACCGTAAACCATAGAAACAGCATTAATAAAATAGTGCATTTAGAGCCTCAACTGGAGTAAATTTGTGTAGCTCTATTGACTTTGATTCACACTTGCAAAGGATTTTGGCTCATTTAGAAGTAGGACTCTAAGGGCAGGCCTACACTTAAAAGGCTGCACTAATGCAGCTGCGCCGCTGTAGTACTTAAGATGTTCCTCTGCGTCTCCCGTCAGTGTAATTAATCCACCTCCCCAAGAGGCAGTAGCTATGTTGATGAGAGATTTTCTCCGCAAACATAGCATTGTGAACATCAAAGATTAGATCGGTATAATGATGTCACTCGGGGTTGTGGATTTTTCCCACCCCTGAGCGACAGTTATACCGATAATAGTCTCTAGTGTTGACCTGGCCTCAGAAGAAGTGTGGTTACCACCTGAGACCCATCTCTGGGTCTTTCTCAAGCACTCAGGGTGTGAAGTGGCATTAATCGAATGGCTTCACGAACTGTAGACCTGCCTCTCCCAAACAATGCCAGTGTCAGAATTGTATTTTTACCTATTGCTCTTCTCTTTCTAGCTGCAGAGCCAGATCACCTTCCCCCACACTTTCCTGAAGGATGCAGCTCCCATGGAATGCTGGTCTTTGGAGAAAGTGGCCGTATTCAGTATCCCCAACTCAGTGAGAGTAACTACCTAGATAACAGGTATTCACTGTACATCATCAAAAACACCTGCCCTTTTGTGAAGGGCCACTTTTCAGAGGGCATTTTGTTTGTGTCTGTAAGGTCAGAAGGGGTGACTATCTCCTCTGACCACATGCATCGCTCTAGCCATAGGACTTCAGCCTGCAAATACATGAATTCTTACTCCTGATTTAGTCAGTGAACACAATCAAGTCAATAGTTTGTGGCTGAACTTGCGGGTATGTATCAACCTTAAAAATTAGTATCTAGAGTTAAACATCTCTGTAGTGATGTTTGCTTGTGTGGGATTGGTACTGGGCAACAATAGTTACCCAGAAATAGCACGTTAGAATGAGAAACACAACTCTTGTTGGTCTAGTTCTTATATGAACTGTGCTCATAAAATTGATGCCCTTGGATTAAGCCTGTGAATTAGCTTAATATTAAAATTTTTAAACTGTTCTAATGTCAGGGTTCTGCAACCAGTGAAGTCTTTAGGACTTTCAATGGGAACAGATCCATCCCTTAATGTCTTCTGAAGATGCTTGAGAGCTGGCGATGTGCCAAAAGAAACCTCCAGAGGAGATGTGCCTATTGCAGATCCTACTGGGCTGGCCTAACAAGGAGATGCCATTTTGTCTCTATTACTGGTGCCTGTGTGCCTATCCACAGTAGGATAAAAGGTGGTTTTGTTTTCAAAATGTGTGAACTCCAGTATATACCTGGCAAGTTGTTCTTTAACATGTTCATGGGTTGAATAACGAACTTGTTCTGTATACTCTAAAGCAGGGGTCGGCAACCTTTCAGAAGTAGTGTGCCGAGTCTTCATTTATTCACTCTAATGTAAGGTTTCATGTGCCAGTCATACATTTTAACATTTTTAGAAGATCTTTCTATAAGTCTATAATCTATAACTAAACTATTGTTGCATGTAAAGTAAATAAGGCTTTTAAAATGTTTAAGAAACTTCATTTAAAATTAAATTAAAATGCCGAGCCCCATGGACTGGTGGCCAGGACCCGGGCAGTGTGAGTGCCACTGAAAATCAGCTTGTGTGCCGCCTTTGGCATGCGTGCCATAGGTTGCCTACTCCTGCTCTAAAGTTTTGAGTTGTTTGCTAACAGATATTAAAAGATCATGCTTTGTCCTAATGCGGATATGCCCTGTAGGTCCCTGTATAACTTTTAGCTGTGCAATGTGGAGGTTGTGCATAGAATGGGCCAAATTCAGTGCCAGAATAACTATTGACTTGATTGGATTTATCCTGGGCATGAATTTAGCCCAGTGAGCCCAGTCACTGGTTGGGGAATGCTAATGGTTAAGGTCTCAGTAACACCGGCCATAGGCACCGACTTCCCTTCTTTCTAGTGGGTGCTTGGCCCCACACCACCCCTTCCATGAGGCCCTGCCTCCATTCCGACTCCTTCCCCAAATCCCCACCCCGGTCCCACCTCCTCCCCTGAGTGTGCCACATTCCCACTCCTCCCTCTCCCTCCTGGAACGTGCTAATGCTGCCAAACAGCTGTTTGGCGGCGGTGGCCGAGCGGGAAGCGTTGGAAGGTAGGTGGAGGAGCAGGGACGTGGCGCACTTAGGGGAAGAGGAGAAGGTGGGGTGGGGCGTGAGGGGAGCTTGGCTGCCAGTGGGTGCAGAGCACCCACTAATTTTTCCCTGTGGGTTCTCCTGCCCCGGAGCACCCACAGTGTCGGCGCCTATGACACTGGCCATAAGCTGGTAGAGGCTTTAGCATGTGTGAGTATTTTCCTGGCTTCCTCTCTTGCCATGAATTGCCTGGGACACAATCCATTTGGCAGCACAGCACTGATCCAAAGTCTGAGCACAAAGGAGAGAACTGACGGTTATCTCTTGCAATAAAGCACTTTGTGTTGTGCTAACCACCATTAAAAACCCAGCATATGTTTCTTATTACTCCTTAGCTGGAGCTGGTGACACCCTAGCTTGAGCTGATCTGGCTGTGACTGTGAGCTGATGGATATAGGGTTGTAAATGCGCACACACCTGGTTTAATCCATAGATGGAGAAAGAGTATTGTCAACCATCTGAATTTCCCTACATTAGAGTTGTGGAAACACATCTGGAGTGAGCTGGAGGGCTTTAAGAACACTTAATGCTGAGGCCAGACCAAGTTAAAGTGGGTGGATAGGTGGTGGTGCAGAGTGAAGGAGGAAGGTGATAGTTCTGGGAAGAAGCTAAACCCCTCTCTGATGAAGCATAAACTACTTTGCTTTATGATAATGTGCTCTGTCCTTGGTGTCTTTTAAACTCCCTCTGGCACTCCAGCATGCACCCCCGCCCCTTGGAGCTGCTTGGGAGGGAAGGGTGCAGTCACACAAATTTCACTCTAGCCCTGATTCTGTTGTCTGACTTAATTGTTTCTTTGTTTTGAGCCTGTGCATGTGGAATATAATTGTGCCAGAAGACAAGATTATATTGATACAGTTCACCAGATTAGACCTAGAGAGCCAGATCACGTGTGACCATGACTACGTGTCCTTCTATTCGGACAAAAGAGAGCTAATTGGTACGTAGAATGCCTTAATCTCTTATATCAATACTTGGCATGGCGGGCAATTAGCAATCTGAAACGTGAACATTGATGACGTTCGAGCCCTTTCGTGTCTTATTACAAATCAAGGAACCTTTCACTGTCATCTGCCCTGCAGGGCCGGCTCCAGGCACCAGCTTGGCAAGCAGGTGCTTGGGGCGAGCACTCCGGAGAGGGGCGGCAGGTCCAGCTATTCAGCAGCAATTTGGTGGACGGTCCCTCACTCCCGCTCGGAGCGAAGGACCTTCCGCCAAATTGCCGCCGCAGATCGCGATTGCGGCTTTTTTTGGCTGCTTGGGGCGGCCAAAACCCTGGAGCCGGCCCTGCTGCCCTGGCACTGAAGCTGTCAAAGCAAAGCTAAGTAAGGGAGGTGGGGGGGGGAAGGTAGATATTCATGTCCATTCTGACTCCTAGTGCGCGACTATAGTCTGAAAACTATAAAAAGTGTAAAAAAAAAAAATCTTTCTCCACTGTGTTTTTCAAACTCCTATTTCTGCCTTGTATAAAAAAACAAGTTTTTACTCCTACTAGCCCCATATAGCTGAACTGTCATCTAATTGGCCTCGTACATCAACAAAACTGCCAGCCAGTTTCTGATGCTGGAGTCCTTAATGAAGGATGGTCAATGACAATGGTACAACGCAGAACATGCAAGATAAAGACATAATTCTGCCTATCTGAAAAATCTTGTTGACTCAAACTTTTTACTTATACAGCACAATAAATATGTCTGTTTTATGGATAAATAATGACAGGGGACTTTTCCCTTGCAGTCTAAATTTATTATCCATTCTTGAGACTGAATTGCTAAAGAATAAATATTACTTGCAAATCTTTGCTCCTTCTATACTCTGAACAGTACTAGTGGCTATGTGCCAGTACTAGCCCACCATGAAACCTTGAGCTGAATCGCCTCTGTGGTTGTTTTGGATGCAGTTCTGTCTCCAAACATTTTACCTTATAGGCAACCGAAACTGATGCTGGAGTAGTCTTCGCAGAGTCTGCCCTGGAATACGTGACTTTCCAATATTGTATACAGTTTAGTGAATCTGAAAAAGTAAGCTGTCTGACAAAGTGTGTGTGTGTATGCTACCACCCTAAACAATAAGTCTAATCTTTTCCCTGTAGGTAAAATCTGTGGAGATGTGTTACCAACCCCCCTGCTGATAGACTCTAACCGAGCAATGGTTACTCTAGTTTCTGATGGAAGCAACACCGGCAGTGGCTTTGAATTCACCTTCACAGCTATACATAAGGAATCGGAAGCAGGTGACTTCAGACATACCATTTGTACATACTTCTCTGCCACCTGACCTCCTTTAAAACCAAAGAAACCATCCCTGGTGCACGTGGTGGTAGTAGTTTTTGTTTTTTTTTTTTTTTTTTTTAACTTCGCTATTAAATCTGACTTTTTCTTCTTAACCCAATGTGATAGGTTCTGGTTGTGGAAGTGTTGCAGTGCTGGTGGAAGAGGGAAAGATTGATACTGCTAATTACCCTGGCTTGTATCCCAGTAACGTGAAGTGCCATTGGTTCATTGAAGCCCCAGTAGAGAAAGTCATAAAGGTAATCATAGAAGATTAGGGTTGGAAGAGATCTCAGGAGGTCATCTAGTCCAACCCCCTGCTCAAAGCAGGGCCAACCCCAACCATCTCCCCAGTGAAGGGAGATGCTGCTTTTAAACCTCTGCCATTGACTGCTCAGGGAATAAAATTCAATAAAATCCTGCTGGAAACATCTACAATGCACAAGCCTGTAAGATGTAAGGTTTTCAGCTTAGGCTTCTCACAGGGTGTGTTTTAACCAGTTTAGATGGTTTGTATAGCTCTGTATGAACTGGCATACTGAACTGCTGCTGCTGTAGATGCTTGAAGCTGGTTGGTATCAGCCCTTCCAATTAATGTAACTGCATCTTGGGCAGGGGCGGCTCTAGCTTTTTTGCCGCCCCAAGCACGGCAGGCAGGCTGCCTTCGGTGGCATGCCTGCGGGAGGTCCCCGGTCCCGCGGACTCAGCGGCATGCCTGCGGGAGGTCTGCGGATTCGGCGTACCCGCTGCCGAATTACTGCCTAATCTGCGGGACCGGTGGACCTCCCACAGGCATGCTGCCGAAGGGTGCCTGACTGCCACCCTCGGAGGGACCGACAGGCCGCCCCCTTTGGCTTGCTGCCCCAGGCACGCGCTTGGAGCGCTGGTTCCTGGAGCTGCCACTGATCTTGGGAAAGATAGTGCAAAGTTTCAGAAGGGTGGGGTGGGGATATGGAGGACAGAACTCCTTGCTCTCTATCTAGTCCCCTTCTTCCACCAGAGTGTTAAACATGCAGAAATGGTACTGAGCTAAGCAAGCAGTAGGTAGGACTGACACATGTGATGACTGTTCCTACTGGGGGTGCTGGAAGTGACATTTTGCTGTTGCGGTATGATGCCTGCCCTTCCTCCTGTTGTCATTGCAATTGTGCCAGCTAAAGTGAGGTTACCTGTTGGATTAACCTTACCCAAAGATAAAAATAAAGCTACTGTATTGTACCATCCAAGGCAATGTCTGTCCACTGCAGCCTTTGTGTAAAAGCAAAGAATCATTAAACCCATGTCTGTCTAAGTGCATGCAGGTTTGTTGCTCATGGGCTGGCCTCTCACTAATGCTCATACAGTTCTGTAATCTGCTGTTTGTATTAAGACACTGAATACACACGCTTGAGGTTTTTATACAGGCAACGCTATTGTTGCTGCTGAGTGTTTCAGAATCACAACGACAGCCAACCATGGTTTGGATTTTTAAAGGGTCATTGTGATGATAATGTGATCGTTTTAAAGAGAAAATGTAGGCTTTGATTTAAAAACTTTAAAAAAAAAAATGACAATTTCTATTTAAACCCACCTCTGTGGTTCAGCCGCCGCAAACTCGTCAGCTTTTTGCTGATCACGGAAAGCAACACTGGCCCGAAAGGGACAAGCTTAGTTCCACTGCGTGGTGGGTCAGCTCCACTACAAGAGGTGCTCAAAGTAAACTTTGATAGAGTTAAAGAGCCCATGCATCTTTTCACCTTCTTTTGAGGTGCACTAGGAACAGGCTCTATAGCTGTTACTCAAATCTTGGCAATGACTAAGACTCAGAGTTAAATTTAGAGTTAATGTTTTGCTTACAAAGGGCGTAAAAAGAGAAACCCCCCGTTATTAATTTTGTCTCTCTTCTCTTTCCAGCTGGAATTTGAAGACTTTGCTGTTGAATTCAGCGAGGGCTGTATCTATGATGCAGTTGTCCTTTACAGCGACACACAAGATGAGCACCAGCTGGGTATTCATTCAGTCTCACATGTAGAATCCATTACAGAAATTAAGTCTTCAATAGCTTGCTGCCAAAAGAGTACAAGCTACATTAGTGACACTTCGGTGGTAGAATTAAACCACTTTAGTCAGAAAATGCAAAATTAAGGTTCCTACAACCGCCTTAACTCCGCCTCCTTGCACATCTCAGTACAGCAGGGTGTTCCAGTGCCATCGGGGTTCCCAAACCATTGGAGTTCTTGCTGGTGGACTGCAGAGATCTGACTGCTCATGTTGGGCTTAATCCTGCCCGGTGCTGAGCACTGTGCTGCTGATCCAGCAAAGCACTGAAGTATGTGCTCCCGTGCTCTGTGGGATGGAGACAGAGTGCTTGGCACCTTGCAGTCCATAGTGCTGGTTCTCCACTTTGTTTCTAGCTGCTTTGTTGCATTCAAAGAAGGTAAAAATTAAAGCTGGTCAGGGAGACTTTGACAGAACCATAGTCTGCTGGACTATGCAGGTCTGTCAAAATTGAAACACTTCATGAAATCTAACCAATTTTGCTGGACTTCGTTTCATAACAAAATCGGGGGCATATGTGGGGGGGGGGGGCAAATCTACCAATGTCAAAATGAAACATTTTGTTTACAAACATCTTTTTGTTTAGAATCTTGATTTTATATGATATAAAATTCTAAAAGTCTCTAAATCAAAATAATACCTACCTTATCTTTCAGGGTGAAATGTGAGGGGATATAATTTATTGAACCAACTTCTGTTGGTGAAAGAGAGAAGCTTTCAAGTTACACAGAGCTCTTCAGCTGGAAAGCGTCTCTTTTTCTCCAATAAAAGATACTACCTCACCCATCTTGGTCCCAGGATAGCGGAGAGACAGCACAGCTGTAACAATACCGCGAACAACATTTCACTCTCAAATTTTCAGTTCGGAATATTCCCTTGAGAATTTTGAAATCTGGGGCTTTTGTTCCAAGTAGAAATGAAGCCAGACTTCAAAATCGTAATCCTTTGTGACATGGAACTTCTTTCCTCCACACAGTGTGAGTTAAAACACAATTCACTGAGTCACATTTCCATTCTGAAGAAAAATAACTCTGTACTCAAAGTGGGAGACGCTTATTACAAATTTTCAGGACAACTTTTGGACAGCAGACTTGTACTTGACTCAAGGGGGAGGAGGGGAAACCAGTACAATGCGGAGGAACGAGAGGCAAGAAATTCTGAATTCTGATCCTGGCTTTGACACTTGGTCTTGGCCAAGCCACTTCCCTTCTGTTTGTCCATCTGCAACCTGATGGTCATCGTACTTCATGTCTTTAGGGTTTTTAAAAATAAATATTAGCACTAGAGTGGACCAGAAAACAGACGTTAGTTACCACACACAAATTGTGAACTCTTGAAAACGTTTTCATTCTGAATCAGAACAGTCACAGATTCAAATAAATTTTGATGGGAGCTAAATTCTATATTTTTTTAAAAAGTCCATTTGGGGAGAACCAAAACAGAACTTTTCAGCTTTTTCCCCAGACTGCCAGTCTCCTCCTACAGTGATCCTCGCAGCTCAAAGAGCTCTCATTTAGATTTTCCTGAGGAAAATCCAAATTTTCCAGCAAAATTTTTGGGGTTTTTATTTATTTATTTTTTTTATTATTATTATTTTTCAGAATCCACATGTTCTGTTGGAATATCATTCTGGTGGAAAATTTCCTAGCAGCCAGGCAGTAGGGAGACTAGGTGCTTTATATAGGCAGAGAGAGAGAGAGAAGGGGAGCTGCCTGTTGTGCTCCAGATCCTCAAAATGGTGGCTGATGTGTGTGTGCAGGTTTAAGAGGCATTGAATGCCCATCGTATATAGATGGCAAATGCAACTCTTTTAAGAGGCTCTCTTGGTGGGAGGCACTTATGCAGCTAACTTGTTTTTTATTAATTTTTCCACTATAGGAACTAAACTAGGACGTTGTCTAATTCCTGAGAGTATATAGTAGCTTAATTTAGGCCACTACTTCCTTCTCCTTGGATACCCTTCGATTGGACCTGGCCAAAGTGTTTGTTTCAAATTTAAAAAAAAAAAATGTCCCCCACAAAATGGCTTTTTGAGCCAAGTGAAAATGACAAGTCCCTGTTTGGTTTTTCCCTCCTGTGGACAAAGTTTAGCAAAGCTGGAGATGAGTTTAAAGTGATATTCTGAATTTTAAAAGCATGGGGGTTTCCTTGTTTTTTCTTACAGCCAATCTGTGTGGGTTCTCAACCCCCAGCTCAATTCTGAGCCCTGGCAATGAAATGTTGATACATTTTGAAAGCGATGGGGAGAACAACTTCAGAGGGTTTAAGGCCAGATTCACCTTTGTTCCTTCAGGTTGGTGGAAAGACCTTTGGTATGTGTTCTGAACTCTTGATCTTATTTTTGAAATAATCCCCTATCACTATGCTGGGGCAGTTCAAGATGGAACAGTTTCTACTGAGAGAATTCTGATTCCTTACCATTGTTGAAAGAACTGAATTCCCACACTGGGAACACCGATAGGACACTGACACTTTTTTGATACCTGAAACTTGCAGACTCTGTGGCATTCTGAACTACTTCTAGAAGTATCCCATCCAGGGACTGCTGCCCTATTACAGCAGTGGACGTGGGAAATTGGGGTAACAGTCCCCTGAATGACTGCTGTTGCTTTGCTCTCTTATATGCCAGCTGCTAACATTGAAGGATCTGGCCTTCACTTGTAGGAGTTCCTCCTACAGGATTGGGGCTTTGGGGGGAGGAGGAGGAAGTGGGGCCATGACTGATGCCTTGAGAGTAAAATAGGTTCCATTTATTCTGTCTTCAGCAGAAGAAGCTGAATCAGTAGTTGCAGAACCAATTGTTCTACAGACGACCACTCCAAAGAATATCCCCTTAGGTAAGTTGGTAACAAACTCATTGTAATGGGCTGTGTCAATAGATCCAGAGGATCCTTAGGAAATAGACTTCAGTGGTGCAGGTGCACATGGGCTGTAAGGTATACACAGTACGGAGGTATAAAACATATTCAGAGTGAAGAAATGGGGAGAAATGCCCACTTATCTTTCAGGGGTTGTGCCCATCCAGTGCCACATTATCCATCTAGTTTAATCCTTTCTAACCTGGATTGGGGGAGGAAAACTTGAAATTGATCCATGTATTTATAGGGTGAGAGAAAGATACAAGCATCTGTCTGGGCTTTATTTGTTCTTTGAGGTATAATATGGAACCTCTGTCCGGGATTCAAGTTCTCAGCCACCTACATCAAGCTTGCATTTCTTCTGCTCAAAATAAGTAACCACACCAGCTGCTACCCCTATGAAGGGAGCCTGCTGTACTGCATCTCTTTGGGGTGTATCTGCTTTATAGTCTTAATTGCAAACAAAACTAATGTGATAGGTGCAAAGGAAGAGAGTCTCGGAAGTCAGTATGTCACTCACTAGCTTTCTGGCTGTTGTGTTGCAGATGTCTGTGGCTTTCCCCCATTTAGTCCACAGTGGCTGTCCAGACGTGTTGTCGGGGGAGAAGAAGCATGTCCCCATTGCTGGCCTTGGCAGGCAGGCTTGCAATTTTTAGGTGACCATCAGTGTGGCGGTGTCATCATCAGTCCAACATGGGTACTTACAGCAGCCCACTGTATACAGTCGTGAGTAAACCTCTCTGGCAAATGCTTCCCTGTGCTTCTATGTGCACAGATATTCCTTTTGGGACAGTGTATGTCCCCTCCTCTAGGATAGAGAAACAATGCTGAAAAGTACCCGCACTCCCACTTATAAAACTTTCTTTTGCTTGTTTCCAAGGCTGTATTTTAGCCTTTTCCTGTGGAAAACATTGGCTCAGTGGGGGAGAGGGGGTTCACATAAAATTAGACCTGGTGTATTTCAGCAACTTCCCCTTGTAGAAGACTTGGTCATGGTGAAACTCTGACTCGTCAGTCTGGGGGATAGGTGACTAATTAAACTGGCATTGAAGACCAAGCACAAGATGGTCAGTGTGCTGAATAAGGAATACATAAGGCTGGTTATACACAGATGCAGTGCAGTTATTTCTATTTTACAGAACAAACAGACCACTGCATTGGACTGTCATCGTGGGAGACCACGATAGAATCCTGAAGGAGTCAACAGAACAGGTAGAGACTCCACAAAACAAGCTAAAATGTGGATTGTGTTGATTCCTCTTCCCTGCTTCTTTGTAATAGATCCATGTGCACTAAATAAAACCCGGTGCTAACAAATAAGATGAAATAACCAAAGAAAGGTGGGTGTCTTGGGTGACCAAAGGGAAGAAGAGCATTTGAAACAATATAGTCTGTGGACTTGCATGGCAAACCTAATCCTTGATGATACCTTTTAAGGCTTTCTCTTGTTAGTATCATTTTTTTTTTTTTTTTTTTTTTAAGTTTAGTAGTTGGCAAAACACAAGCTGTAGTGCTTTCAGCATCTTGCTGTCTTAATGTTGGGCAATACATCTTCCTACAGAATCACTTGTTGACCAGTGCCTTTCTATGCATTAAGTTGAGTCAAGGGGGCAAAATCATAGGGGTAGTTTATGTTGGTCTTCTGCAAAAACGTATCCGCTTAGATTAGCAAAATGAAATAGAATCCTCGCTCCTAAATTCAGGGGATTTTAATACAGTCTCTTCTATTTGTGGCCCATCTGTAACCAAGAGTTGGGGGATATACTGAGGTGACTTCCAGAGTCCTGAATCTTCCCTCTTTTAATCTGTTTTGACTCTTCTCCAGCCTGACACCGATTTGTCTCTTCCAAAATATACTTTAAACCCATCTCTCTTTAATGTCCATTTTCAGTTGTATCTTCCCTGGGCCAGCCTCTTTGATCTCATCATTTTGCTTTATTAACGTTTGATCCTGTTTGGTACAGGTGAGAAGGGTGAAAACTATTGTGGTGCACCCTGACTTTGATACAGTGAGCTATGACTCTGATATTGCACTGATCCAACTGGATGTCCCTCTGGAGTATAACACTGTTGTGAGGCCAATATGTTTGCCCAACAGCACACAACCGTTATCTTCCTCTGTTCTATGCACCATGACTGGCTGGGGGAGCACCCAAGAAGGTATGTAGTATGTTCTTCTTCTCTAAATGGGCAAACAAGATGGAAATGTCTGTGAAGATTCTACCTCTGTCCTGCATCTCTTAGTATCCTTGTCGGGTGTGCTGTGCACTATGCTGGGTGGGGAATGGATGGCAGAATCCACAGCTCTTCCTACGCACAGGTGATTTTAGCATTTAGGAGCTTTCTGCTATCACTGTACAAATAGATGTATTTCTTACATGTCGCTTATGGGCTGGCTGATTTGCAGCTGTCTAGCTATAATTAGAATCTTGTCCAGGATTGCAGGCCTAGCAGTTGCTCTTAAGTAAAGCTCCCGTGCTTTTGCTTTTATGTTCTGGATCTTACTTTCTGGTTTGTAGGGAGTGGGAAGCCTCACTAACCATCAAAGGGCTAAAATGATCAGGGCACTGAGGAGAGGCTCCTTAACAAGAGGTATGTTCATTCGGAGACAAACTTGGGGTGGGCTGGGGAGACACTAGCTAAAACCTTTGCTTTTTCCAGCAGGAGCTGTGTTTGAGTCCATTTGCTGAACAAAGCCAAATTGAGCATCTACTTCTGCTCTGAAATAGCTATACTGTACTGTTGGCAAAGGGGATCCTCCACAGTCTGACATAATGTGTACAGGCACCAGCCTGTATTATTACATAACCAGAAGGTTCAGATAACCTGGAGGAAAGTCCAGTTCCCGTACTCAGCTGCCTGGTTGGATTAGAACTGTGGCTGTTAGCAAGGGGACATGAGGAAACGTGTGTTTTTAGCCGACGTCTCTTTCTGTTGGTTTCCGTCTCCAGTTTTGCATTCTCAGCAGGTTCTTTGACCCTGCAAATAGCTTGCAATGTGATAAATGTTCCTCTGCCAATTTCTCCCCCCAGCAGATGGGAGCCTTGCTAGTCGACTGCAGCAGACACAAGTACCCATACTTGAGAGTGAAGTCTGTGAGAAAAATTACTATTTTAATCACCCCGGAGGGATCACAGCTAGGATGCTTTGTGCTGGTTTTGCTTCCTCTGGAGGGCAGGATTCCTGCCAGGTGAGTTGCTACTAAATGCAAGTACCATTGAAGATGAGTCTTGGTGATTGTTTTTCTGCTGTATTTTAATGTGGTAGAAAGCGTTGGGAAAACTGTGGTAGACCAAATCCTACCAACAAGGCAGCCGCCCCCAATAACTGTCTACAGCAGGAATGGGCAATGCACAGAGCATCAAAAAACAATAAACACAATTAGCCCAAACTAGAACTGAATTCAAAACATGGAGCTGGAGAAGCTTAGTGGCAAAAACAACCAGTGGTGTATTTGAGCTTTCAGCTGTAACTGTGATCGGGCCTGAGTAACTCTGGGCGAGGGGAACGTTCTTCCTTTTATGTTTCTTGAATCCTACCCAGTGAATAGATGACAAAGCCAGGTTAGAATATTGGGTTGCACGTTTTATATTAGTTATGAGAGAGTAATGTTTAGTAATTGTTCTAGAATCCAACCGGTCAATGGGTTGCTTATAACAGTCTGTAACACCTACTGGTGTGCTTATCTCTAGAATACAAAATATTCATGCCTGTAACACATTTCATTTCTATTTACCTTTATTAACCCTTGATAAACTAGTAGCTGAAGGCCTGTTCTGTTGCATGGTTATGGCAATTGAGCCAAGTAATATACTATCTGTGCAGTCTCCCTCGCACAACCAATGAAATTGATGCATGCAAATTAGCTGGGGAGTAAGAGTGGTGGTTGGTTATCTATATCACAGTGGTCTAGGAGTCCTGGCAGGGCATAGATACATGTCTTATGGTAGCTGACACTGCACAGGTGTCATTTGTAAAGTCAGAATGGCTGAGAACTTTAAAAAATGGACAGTAACAGACTGCAAAACCCAGTGATGATTGAACCTGGTGGTACTTTAAACACAAAGAGCTACAACCATTGTTGTTGCTGTTTACATCACTTCACACTGTTTCTACAGGTGTGCAACATTTCAGAGTGACAAGCTTGGAATCTAATACAGATTATAAATGGAATATTTATATAAAATGTGACTGAATTTAGTACCTCCTGATTCCCAACCCTGTGTTCAGTCTTCCAGACCACTTTGTTAGTAAGGCAATCTGATTTATTGAATTAGCCATCCCAGTCCATGACTAAGAAACCAGGAGCATGAGCTGGGCACACTCAGTTCTCCTATTCAAACTTTTCCCCTTAACTATGGTCTGTGACTGCTCTTCACTTCTGAGACTAAGATTGTAGAAGATGAATGTAGGAAGTTTCTACTAATATTCTAAGAAGTCCCTCTGTGTGCTTTCAGGGTGATTCTGGTGGCCCATTGGTTTGCTATAATGAAAAAGAGCCATTTATTCTTTATGGCATCATCAGCTGGGGTGTTGGTTGTGCCAGGCCAAAGAAACCAGGAGTTTATACAAGGGTGAGGGTCTTCCTGGATTGGATCAAATCCACAATAAGAGGTAAATATCTTCTTTCTTCTAAGCAGTGTGTCCCCTAAAGGAAGAGCTTGCTGGAAGTATTCAAAGTATTTTGTGGACAGCAGTTGGAACATTTTTCATCCAAAAACAAAAATCTTTTTTTTTTTCAACCACTTTATTTGATTTTGAACCAACAAAAAAAAATCAGAAAAAAAAAAACTTTTTTAAACCAAAAATTTTCCAGTTTTCAGGGAGGTGTGTGGGTGTGGGTGTGGGTGTGTGTGTGAGAGAGAGAGAGAGAGAGAGAGAGAGAGAGACAGACAGACAGACAGACCTTACAGGAAATTTCAGACAAAACACTTTTGTGCATTTTTTCCCACATTTCTCATGGAAAAATAATGGTAGTTTTCTATCAGCCCAATTTTAGAGATGCAGAACTTCCGGGATAATCTGAAATGAAGTACAGTGCACCAGTACACACCAAACTCTAGACAAGTGCATTTTGAACACTTCCGAGTATGTACTATCGAAAGAGTAATCAATAACACAGCTCACTAGAGAATGACTAAAATACAGTCTGTGCCTCTTAAAAGGAAGTGGACCATGTTCTTTACAATGCAAGGAATACTTAGAGATGACAGGAAGAATGTTTTAAGGCAGTGTGTGTGGTCTCCGAGTCCTACTTAGTATCCTCACAAACCGCCATGCCTGTGGAATTGGGATGTCTTCCTAACTGAAGTAGAGCAAACCACTTATTTCTTCCCCACAGCAATTTCACTGCTGATGTGGCTGCCATCCATCCCAAGGGATATTCCTAATTATCCATCCTGTATCTTGTCAAGCTAGTTCAGGAGGATGCAAAACTAAAACCTACTCTGGTTAGCAAAAAAATCCTTTTGATATTCTAGCTATGTGTGACTCAGCATAATGCTTTTATATATAGATATATTTTTAAAAAATTGTCTACCAGCAGAACTGCAGTGGTGGCAAATGCAGCTCTGTTCCCCATCCTGATTTCTGGCATAAGGGGTTAAAACTATTCACTTGTTGGCCTGCTTAGAGCAGTTGTCATCCAGTGCCTTTTCATAGATTAAGCATGACTTTTAGACCTGCTCTTAACTCAAATGAGGAAGAAGAAATTAATTTCAACATAGTCCGGGACTCAGTGTGAGCTTTTTTTTTTAAAGCCTTTTTACAATGGTCATTACTAATTCAGGATTGCTAAGTGCACTTCATGAGGGTAGCAATCTCAGTCATCTCCCCCAGATGAATTAGAAGGTGGCTAGAGGTCTCTTCCATATTGGAAGATCTAGTATCGATGGTTGTTGGGCATTAGCTTTCTATAGTTTTTGCTTTTTCATGAGTTTACCCTAAGATAACCAGTCTCAGGAAGAGAAGTGCACAGATCTTTACCTGTAAATCAGTTTCTATGGTGGAGGTTTTACTATCGCTTGCTCATGTTCACTTCTGCCTCTATATAGATGGCTTCATTTGAAAGGTTTAGCCTTCCATTATCACTTCACAAGCAAGGCTATGGTCAATCTGACTCTTGGTGGGATGTCTTAATCCTGTGGATGGGTACTGTCTAGTTTCCCACAAAGCTGTCTCTCTACAGATTATACATAGCCCAGGACATCTTTATTAAACTGTCCTAGTAATAGACATGTTGTATCTCTCTCTACAGAGATTGAACCAAATGCGCTTCAGGTAAGTAATAATGGACATGAAACCTTAACACAGACACCAATGAAACGGCCTACAAAACTAACAGGAGCTGCATACAGACAAGGTAAAAATTCTCCTGCAGCTACTTTCAGTTAATAGTGTTGCTGGTCTGTCTCTTGCATACCCTTGTATCCTGTGTAAGGTGGTGGGCCAAGATTCAGCTTGGTAGTACTGTACAGGGTGCCAAGCTAGGCAACTGTTGTCAAAGTGTGTAAAGGCCAAAAACTTTGTAATTACAGTGGATTTCTTGGAATTGCCTATTGATAAGAGATCTTAGGGTTAGATACAAATAATCCTCTTTTAACCCTCAGACTAGTGCAGACAAGCTAAGACAATCTATAGTTGTAGGAGTCTAAACTGGGGGCAACAAACAAAATTACTTGTTTTCTTTTGAATTCCATCAACCATAAGCTATTTTCCTCAGTGACTGTTTTTTTGTTTCTTTTTTAAAACAAACAAACAAAAACCTTCTTGCTGTTAGTTTTTCCTTACATTGCCCCACACTACAATCTTAAGCCATTTGATACCAGCCACCATGTTCTCGTGCCCTTCCCAGCCCCATACTACTAGCATAACTGCCAATCAGAAAACAATTTCCATCCTCTTTTTTAATATTGCTTGAACTGTTGGCCAAGGGATTCAATATATTTTGATTGTTGGCTAGAGAATAATTCTCCATCGTCTACTTTCATAAGAATTTGGCCCTTAACTAGCAGGTTTTCTCACAGGATTATGACTCGCTTGACTTAAAATATTAATTAACCCTCATCCTTGTAAGTTAGGGAAATGTCAGAATGCCCTTTTCACAAACTGGTAAACTAGGGAGTAACCAGCCCTGCTTGGGCCAAGAGCAGGGACTGAACCTGATCCTCTCGGAGCTAAAGGCACGGAATGCGGCCACTTGAGTTGACGGACCAAGTCCCTACCTGAAAGTGGTAGCAGACTTTCATAACTCTTATATGGACCAGCCTGTACTAGAATGACCAGTTTCTAATGTAGGTTACCTACTTTCCTTAATGGAACTTACTCAGTACTGTAGGTGGTCTGAAAAGTAAGTGACAGCACTGGGACTAACACTTGGCACTCCTGAGTCAGCAAGGATTTCAGAAAGGGGCAGGCGGGTAATAGGTGCCCATATAAGAAAAAGCCCCAAATATAGGGACTGTCCCTATAAAATTGGGACATCTGGTCACCCTATAACTAACACCCGTGCTGATAATTTCAGCAGAGGTCAGGGATTTGAATGGTCATCGAGACTGAAATATCCCTACAGAATGATGCCTCCAGGACAGTGTGGGGGACTAAGGGAGGATATAATAGAAGTGTATAAAATCATGACTGGTGTGGAGAAAGTGAATAAGGAAGTGTTATTTACTCCTTCACATAACACAAGAACTAGGGGGTCACCAAATGAAATTAATAGGCAGCAGGTTTAAAAACAAACAAAAGGAAGTATTTTTTTCACACAATGTACAGTCAACCTGTGGAACTCCTTGCCAGAGGATATAGTGAAGGCAAAGACTATAACAGGGTTCCAAAAAGAACTAGATAAGTTCATGGAGGATAGGTCCATCAATGGTTATTAGCCAGGATGGGCAGGGATGGTATCCCTAGCCTCTGTTTGCCAGAAGCTGTGAATGGGTGACAGGGGTTGGATTACTTGATTACCTGTTCTGTTCATTCCCTCTGGGGCACCTGGCATTGGCCACTGTCAGAAGACAGGATACTGGGCTAGATGGACCTTTGGTCTGATCCATTATGGTCGTTCTAATGTAGTGGGTGGGGGTGCTCACACAGTTGTTAGCAATGCTGTACCTCTTCCATACAGAGAGCATCAGTTACCAGCAGAGCAACCTCCGCATAGGATTCATTTAATTTGCTTACATATAGAATAGAGATGGGGTACACACTCCTTCCTTCGGGTTCCTAGCCTAACACCCAGCCTACTAAACTGTGAACTGCAGGCTTTTCCCCGTTGTCAGCATCCCGTGCTCATGCATAATGTCTGGGGTGAGGGGTGGTGAGGTCAATGCTAGCTTTAGCAGGGATTTCACAAATTTCAGTGGTGGAGGAAATGACTTACAAAGTACTAACGCTATTACAGAGAGATTATGGCTTTTAAAAGATACTGCTGTGGGATGCAAAAAGCCCTATTGTATACAGGATTAAAGGGGGACGCATCTCACTAGCAGTCTTGTTTTCTCTCCTGCTTACAACACTCTCACAGATGCTTCAAAATATTTCCCTATTGATTTGGTCTCTTTCCACTTGGGAAATGCTGCATTTGATTCCCCTCTGTGTGCATGGAGCACAAGCCAACACAGCTCTGTTCTTTTTGTGCCCTTATCTGTGTGCTTTCTAAGCAGGGAAAACATTCTTTGCTTTCCCAGAAAACATCCACTAACTTGCTGAGCCTGTTGCCTAAGCCTGGACAGGTTGGTAAGAGACTAGTGTCAGATAAAGAATAAATCATCACACTGGAAAATTGTCCAGATCAATGAATATGTGAAAGCTTGAGCTGGATAGCTTTGTTAGGTTTCTCCCCATTGAATACCCAGTTCACTCTGGAACTGTCCAGGGTCATTGGCTGTTTGGATGGGCTGTCAGGCCAGTTTTACGAACTCTTTTTTTGGTCTCCCCTCTTAAAGGCCTGGCAGACTGGGCACTCGGTCACTTTGGGGATGTTGCCCATCTTGCTTCCAGTAGCTGGATTGCTGGGGCTTTCTCAAAGCACTGTGCTTGCCTTTTAGCACTGGAAACTCATCCTCTGTCCATACTGGAGTATTTCACTTCTATCATTCCAGGCACTGGAGACCTGGGGATTGCTTAAATACTAATTTATGGGAACTATACCATATCTTTATTAGGGAGAAGCAAACGTTTGCTCTCGGTTACACCTGTGCATTTCAACTGGCTTCAGAGGACTGCACGTTTGTAACTGAGGGCAAACTTTTGCTCTTTGTCTTACTAGAGAGACATTTAGTGCCCTGGGTCTCAGTGATGACTGAAGCAGTTACATGCAGTACTAACAAGCTATTTCCCATTGGCCATATTGTCCTCTTAGGATCTCTGATCTAAGACGTAATTAATAGGCATTGTAGAGCAGTAAAAGCTCTTTCCCAATGCTTCTGTGACCAGCATGTGCTCTTCTGTGCAGAATGTCCATCGGAAGTGGAGTTAACAGAGCCCAGAGGTTTCTTCTCATCCCCTTGCTCATCAGGCTACATGGGAAGCTTGAATTGCTCTTGGGTGCTCAGAATGTCCCCCAGAGGCATGGCAAAGCTCACAGTAAAGCATCTGTCAATACCAGCCTCACGGAACTGCCAAGTGGAGCTCCTAGGGATATATGAAGAGAGCCAAAGAGGAAGAAAAGTAGTAGGTAATCAATAATCTAACTGAAGCTTTTCAGCACTTACTTTCTCCTCTGTGTGTTGAATCTTTTTTTAAAACTGGCCAGTGTCCATAGAGTGACTGTGCCATACTGCAGGCTGAATTTACTTTAAGCTACATTTTAAGGCCAGATTCTCTGAGTGTATATTTGACTTAGTTCTGTTGACATCAGTGCATCCGTTTAAAGCAGCAGAGACAGGCCCTTAATCAAATTGTATGAATGGCAAGGGAGGGTGTGTGGAAATCATGGTGTAGTATTTGGATAGATATACAGGTACTATACATTAGACATTCTGGCCTAAATCAGTGTTTCTTGACCCTTTTTTTTTTCAGGCGATGTACCCCTTACCTGAAGTAAAAACATTTTACAGTCCCCTTACAGGTCACTTTTCAATGATAATAATAGGGTTATATATGTATGGCTTCTGATTACAGTTTTTAACTGATAAAACACCCCTGATTTAAAAACAAAAAAAGCCCAGTGATTTCATTATTCAACAAACATGGGAAATGGTTACCTGTATCTAAAGGTTTGTCTATACTGAGCAGTAAATTACTCCTGGGAGAATTCTGTGCCACTGCATATGCACAGAATTCGTCCCTTGAAGAATTTTTTTGCTTCCCTGCAGAAAAATGACTTTCTGATGGGGAAGCAAAAGGAAGCCACAAGATTAGTCATGTCCCCCTCCCTAGCAGTATGTTTCGGGTGCCCAGGGCAGCCAGCAAAGAGGTAAATCACTGTGGGGCAGGAGGTGGGACTGGGGAAGATGCAGCTGGTGGCTCCTACCCTGCACCGAGCTCAGCTGCTAGTCCCAGCTTGGCTGGGCAGGACGGAACTTCCTCTTCCCCTGCACAGAATCCGGGGCCAGGTCAGACCCACCCCCAGATTTCTCCCCCGGTTGTAGGAAGCTCTGCAAACTACCCCCACCCCCCATGCTTCCTGCACCCATCACTCCTCAGATGCAAGGGGGGGAGGGATCACTGTGCAGGGAGGTGCTCCCCCATCTGCCCAACCCCTGTGCATCCAGGTACCCCATCATACTCAGACCCTTCCGCTGAGCCTCACCCCCTCCCCTGCACTCACTACCCCCCAATGAGCCCCACTCCCTGTCCGTGGACCCCACCACTGAGCCCCCTCCTGCTAAGCCCCCAACTACCTTCACCTGGACCCCCCCTGCAGAGTCCCATTGCACCCAACCCCCCACCCCAACAAGCCCCTGTGCATTCAGATCCCCCACTGAGCCGCCTGCACCCAGATTGCCCCACACAGAACCCTCTCAACCCACACCTGGATCCTGCCACACTAAGCCCCTTCACACTGGGATCCTGCCTTGCTGAGCCTGTCTGCCCGCACCTGGTGTAGAGGGGCAGGGCCCTGGGGTGCTTCTGGGGCAGGCCCAGTCCTTGGATTGTGTCAGAGTTGGGTGCAGCCTTGTCGCTGAGTCCGTGTCCTGGGGGGAAGCTGCGCAGTGATCTCCCACTTCTGTGCAGCCAGTGGCCTGTGCTCCCCAATGCCATGCTGGAGCCTCCATGTTTATTTGACAAATAAAATTTGCAGAATTTTAAAATATTGGGTGCAGAATGTTTAATTTTTTGGCACAGAATGCCCTCCGGAGTAAGGGCAGACTACAGGGATTTGATGTGTGGTGTTTATCCATGTAGACTCGCTGGTGCATGCTAAAAGTTTCCTACGTAGCACTTCAATGTAGTGCTACGTTAACACCCATAAGGGAACATTGCAAAGAGATCACTTGTTTCAGTGTATACTAGTGTAATGAGTAAGACTGTCTACACTACAAATTACTTCGGTATAACTTATGTCGCTCTGGGGTATGAATAATCCACACCCTGAGCAACATAAATTACTGACCTGAGCACCAGTATGGACAGCGCTACGTCAGCGAGAGGGCTTCTCCCAGTGACCTAGCTACTGCCTCTCGCGGAGGCAGGAGTTCAGTTGATTGGCGAGCTCTCTCTCATTGGCTTAGAGCGTCTTCACCAGAAGTGCTACAGTGGCATAGCTGTGGTGTGGACAGTATAGACTGTCCTATAATATACTGTTACCCTTTTGGCCCAAGCAGCTACTAAAAAATTTGAGGTCTAGTAGGCTGTTCCAGTTGGAAGTAGAAATTGATGGAATCTTGTAATTTTCTTTTGAAGCAGTTTTGGTGTGGGGGGAGGGTTGTTTGTTTGGTTTGGTTTTTTTACAAAGAATGTACTAAGTCCTGTGCCGCTGAACACAGAGGGAATCCAAATAGCAGAAAACAGTTTCTCTTGTGCAAAGCACCAAGAACACACTTTTTTTTTTTTTTTTTTTTTTTTTTAGCCTGCATCTTGACCCAAAAACCTCCCCAGGTTTCTTCCAGGGTCAACCACTGTGCTTTCAGCTGCTCCTTCGGGCAGTCTTCCCCCTCTGTGTGTTCTTGTCTGGCCTCTGTTTCTGTGTGATTTCTTTCCCCATTACCCCTCCCCCCACTTACCCAAAAGAACACTCTGCCAAAAGTTCTTGGGTGGGTTCTCAAGTACCTTCTTGTCTTAGTCATGTTAATAGAAGGGAGAGCTCACGCCTGCCCATTTCAATGGGGTTTTAACTCAACCCATAAAAAGGTTTCACCCAGCTCCTTACACATTACGTTATACAAAAAGAAGGCCCTGAAAAACCTATTTTTTGGCATCTACATAATTCAAAAATTCCTAAAAATACCCCCCACCCCAAATTTAATAAAGCCCCCCCAAAACCCAGAAGACCTAAATATATTTAAGTGGTTGTTTTGAGAGGTTTACAGAGACCCTGGAAGTGTAAGGGAGCATGGGGATGGAAAAGGGAAACTTTTTTTGCTTTAGATTTTAACAAAATTTTCAATTCCTCATGACCCCACAATTGTCTTTTGCAACCCTCTGAACCCACCAGTTGAGAGAAAGGGGTCTACATAAACAAATGAGATAATATTGTGCCTATATTTAAAATAGGCAGAAACTATGGAATAGGGTTGGAGAGAGGGGTCAGAAAGAAAGTAAGGTGCCAGCTCCAACATCGTCTTATTTATTTCATGCAGATTTACAGATTCGTAGACTTAAACACCATAAAGGACCATCATGATCATCTAGTCTGACCTCCTGCACATTGCAGGCCACAGAACTCACCCACCCACTTCTATAGTTCAGGTGCACGACATTCTGTATTATACAACCATAAATAAAATAGAACTGGAGCTGCTATGTGCAGAGGAAAAGGGAAAATCAAGATAAGAACCTTGGAATCCCTGTGAGGAAATGGGTGGGGGAAATGGCTTTTTCTTCTCTATTTAAAAGCGCTGTGCTGATGGTGGGGTGAGGGGTCAAGAAGAGGCAAATGACTAGCTAGCAGCATGCTCCCGTTGCTGCTTGAATGCCAGCTCCATCCCCAAAGAGCTTTATTAGCGTTCTCCTTCCTATTCCGTATGTGCTATGAGTACAACAGGAAGTGGAGTGAATTGTAAGTGTTTCAGGAGAGGGCTTGGTGTGCGCTTGGGGAGAAACGAGGCCTTTCTAACTGTTTAAAACAAAACAATGCCCCTACGCAGACTGTTTCTGGGGAAAAGGAGGGGCTAAAAGCCACAAGGAGGAAATAGTGGTAGCAGCTGATGTAGTTAATCATAATAGAACAAAGAGTGCAGGGAAACAGACCTGAGATGGGGGGACTTTCTACTGTCCTTGAGACCTGCAGTTCCCTTGGCAGTCTGCATTTACCATTGGAGGATAGGATTAAAATTCAAAATGATCTGGAGAAATGGTCTGAAGTAAATAGGATGAAATTCAATAAGGACAAATGCAAAGTACTCCACTTAGGAAGGAACAATCAGTTGCACACGTACATAATGGGAAATGAGTGCCTAGGAAGGAGTACTACGGAAAGGGATCTGAGGGTCATAGTGGCTCACAAGCTAAATGAGTCAACAGTGTAACACTGTTGCAAAAAAGCAAACATCATTCTGGGATGTATTAGCAGTAGTGTTGTAAGCAAGACATGAGAAGTAATTCTTCCGCTCTACTCCGCGCTGATTAGGCCTCAACTGGAGTATTGTGTCCAGTTCTGGGTGCCACCTTTCAGGAAAGATGTGGACAAATTGGAGAAAGTCCAGTGAAGAGCAACAAAAATGATTAAAGATCTAGAAAACATGACCTATGAGGGAAAATTGAAAAAATTGGGTTTGTTTAGTCTGGAAAAGAGATGACTGAGAGGGGACATCAGTTTTCAAGTACATAAAATGTTGTTACAAGAAGGAGGGAGAAGAATTGTTGTTCTTAACCTCTGAGGCTAGGACAAGAAGCAATGGGCTTAAATTTCAGCAAGGGAGGTTTAGGTTGGATGTTAGGAAAAACTTCCTAACTGTCAGGGTGGTTAAGCACTGGAATAAATTGCCTGGGGAGGTTGTGGAATCTCCATCATTGGGGATTTTTAAGAGCAGGTTAGACAAACAACTGTCAGGGATGGTCTAGATAATACTTAGTTCTGCCATGAGCGCAGGGGACTGGACTAGATGACCTCTCAAGGTCCCTTCCAGCCCTATGATTCAGTGATTCACACTCATTGTAAACAATGCTCTGCTTCTGATATGCCTAAAGGAAAAGCTATTTTCAGACCTCTATCCAGCTTCTTGCATTGAGCAGGCAGAGCTGAGACATTCCTTTAGCCCCACCTGCATTTATTCGGAAAAGCTGGAGACAAGGGACATCAAAAAATTGGAAATCAGAGGATCCAAACAGGATAGAGTGCAACAGGGGTCTTGGAAACAATTTCAGATTCAGAGGCCCACACATAGGGTGTCCCACAGCAGAGGCCCGCATTTTAATCCAAACTGGCCCTCTGGATGGCAAGCAAACAGTCCATCTGATCTCAACTATCTGTGAGTCATAGGATGACCAACAGTTCTGTTTCCTACCTTGTCCTTAAGTTATTGCATAATAATGGAATTCTGCTCTATAAATTAGATGTAAGCTTGGAAGGATTATGTTATCAGTAAATATTGATTTGACTGTGTACACACAAACCGACAAAGTATTTCCATCGATGATGATCAAAATATACAGATAAGCAAAATAAGAGAAATGTTGCTTGAGAACTTCTTAGTTCAATTTAAGGATATTTACTTTGTATGTTTTGATGTGATGTTGACAATTTTGTTTTTAATGGCTAATAAAGCTTTATCTCTTTGAATTTCCATGTCCATTGTCATTAGTCTGACCGCTCCATAATTTTCGCCCTGTGAACATTTTAATTGATAAAGATTAAAATGCTTAAAAATCATATCCAAAATTAATTTTAAAAAATCAATCATTAGGCTTGGCAGAAGTTGGGCTTTTTTTATTTTCATCAAGAAAGACACTGAAAAATACAAACAGATAAATGACTTACAGCCAGTATATGTTTCCAAATACTGCATGTATTAGGCTTTATTTCCTCTTCCCCTTAGTTTTTCAACTTCCCCCAGAGAGATCTGTGTATTAATTTTGTAACTATGGCCTGGTCTACACTAACCCCCCAAGTCGAAGTAAGGTACGCAACTTCAGCTACATGAATAACGTAGCTGAAGTCGACATACCTTACTTTGAACTTACCGCGGTTCAGACGCGGTCCACACGCGGCAGGCAGGCTCCCCGTCGACTCCGCGGTACTCCTCTCGTTGAGCTGGAGTACCGCAGTCGACGGCGAGCACTTCCTGGTTCGATTTATCGCGTCCAGACCAGACGCGATAAATCGAACCAGGAAGTTCGATTTCCAGCCGCCGAACTAGCGGCTAAGTATAGACCAGCCCTAAGATGCAACTAAATGTTGCACTTCCAGGATTGGTCTCCAGAGCAGTTTCTAATATTTCTCCTTTTGCTTGGGTTTGTTTCTCTCCTAGCTGAACTATGTGGTGTCCTGCAGTCACCTAGGACCTTTCTGAGTCCTGGCCCTGTGGTGAAAGTGGTGTTCCATTCTCTTACCCTTGCAGCCTTTGGCATTGAGTACATGGTCTTCAGAGTCCAAGGTATGGTAAGGTGACACCCCCACTGCTAGAGAGAGAGAGAGAGAGAGAGAGAGAGAGATGGCTGGTAGAGAGTGAGCTGAACCATTTGACCTCCAATTCAAACTAACCTGTAAAATTTCAGGACTCTGCTTGCTTCCAGAAGGCAGTGGGGTGGATATAGAATAAGGGACTCTCTTCTGGAGGAACCAATTGAGTTCTTATTTTACTGAGCCCTACATGGGAAATTAGAAAAACACAGGATGAAGAAAGCTGGAATGACCCTAAAATGAGCCTTGATATTTCTTTTTACAGAGAACTTAAATAACAAGCAGAAATGTCTTGAATAATGGAAAATAATCACTATTGGTATCAAATTAGTTGGCGGCCCAACTGTTTTGTTTTCCAGATAATTTTAATTTTAAAATGAGGCATTTTAATTTTCAGCTTTCTTTAGATGGACTTTAGCTTAGGGACCATCTTCTAGAGGCACTCATGTGGTATTGTCTTGGCCATTGGTAGAAGTGTATTTAAAAGACAGTAGCAAATTGAATCCCAAATTTTACATCCAGTTTCTTTCTAGGGCCAAAGATTGGAAAGATAGTGAAACGTCCCAAGGATGTGAACCAAGAATTGTCACGCTGCAGAGATGTCATTCTCACCGACCCGGAAGGATTGATCCAGTCACCAGGCTATCCCCATGGCTATCCTAATGCCACCAGGTGAGAGTGAACTTGTTTAATCCCGTTTCTTGGAACTCTTAAACTAGGTTCTACAAAACTGTGGATGATCTGGGATGAATGAATGATTTTTTTCCACATCTAACTTCTGTATTTCATTTACACATCTTTTGAAAAACTCAACAGGTGCCACAGAAGGCAATTGTGGAACCTGTCTGCCTCTCACATAGAAACATGGTGATCAGAAGGGCTAATGCTGCTACACCCTTTCTAACAATTAGTGGCCAATTCTGGCATTGTTCTGGTAAAATCATTCATCATGTTGTCAGATGGAATGCTGAAAGGGACTCTCCCTCCCCCTCCTCTGGCACAGAATAACTCAGCAAGGTTGTAAAAAGGGCACTCTTGATCAGTTTTATCCCAACCCTTTTTGCAAGGCTTGTCTAGTTCCTAGCCCTTTCTTCCCCCAGCTTTTCCCATTAAGAGGGAACGGTGAGTAGGAGTGGTTGCTCAGTGAAGTGTTAGGCAGCTAGGAAGCTTCATTGGCACTGGTCCATCTTGTTTCTGAATAAGTGTCATCATTTTATGTACACTTTCATCAACTGGCTGATAGTTCATTTTATTCATAATTTCTATACCAAAATGGATTCAAACCAACATCCCACCCTGGATTAGAATCTCCATTTTGTTGTTTGGGGTTTGTTTTTTAAAACAGACTCAAATTCTTTTCTTTCCTTGTTCCTTCCACCCCATTTTAGTAACACATTTTCACGGGATTGAGCCAGTTGTAGGATGCATGTGATTGGGTGTTAATTTGTTCTTGCCCTGCAGCTGCCACTGGCGAATTGTAGCCCCGTTAAAATCCATTATTCGGCTTGATTTCCTGGCCTTCTGGACTGAAAAGACTCTGTCTGGTTGCCACGGACAGCTGATGGTGTATGAAGGATTTGAGCCAAGCAAGGAGTTAATAGGTGAGAGATTTGCTGTGGTGCTGCTGGAAGAGGAAGAGGGAAACTCTTCCAGTTTTCTTAGCAGACTATTGGGCAACTTACCACACGAAAAGAGAAATTCCAACTTTGTTTCTATTTATACTGACTTTAGGGGAGTGTCTTCTAGCTAGTTCATCATCATTTCTATTTCTAGGAACCATTTCTGTAGCTCTATCGTAGAGATGGGATTGGTTGGTTGTTTCACTGTTCATGATAAATTTGCCTTAAAGGCAGATGTCAGTCACCAAATTATTGGCCATTCAATATCTTAGGAACAAATGCACGTTAGCATGTGGAGTGCTTCCTATGATGCTTCTCTCAACACTGCTGTGCATGACAGTAAGCAAGTGACAGTTGAACTGGAAATAAATTGCAGCAGATACTATTATGGGGCCCTCAAGGAATTTCTACTAATTTATACATTGTCTCAAACAGTTCTGGCCTACAGGGCACCGAAGTGGCTCATTCTCCAATGAACGTGATGCCCTGTGATCGATCCATTGGTCTCCACATAAAAATGTGTCTTTTATGAAAACTGTGAAACAACAAAATAACTGCCAAAGAGACTGTTCTCTCCCTTGTGTGTAACCCTAACAGTCCAAACAGTTAAATAGAAAAGTAACTAAAATCTCATTAGTGCCATAGCATACGACCTCTATGTGTAAGATTATAGGATCAGTCAATTTTCAACCATCAGAGATGTCTGTCTGAAAGCATTATCTTCCCCAACCCAACCACCACACCCTAATGCTTTTAATGGTTACAGCAAATGTGTTTTTACCTCTTTTTGGTTTTGGTTTGTTTTAATCAAAGTGCACTTTCTCTGTTGTGAGAAGGACACTGTCTTGTTTATAAGAAGTGTGTACAATAACCTTTGAAATTCTGCTCTATCTTGGCACTGGTCTACACTACAAACATAGGTCGGTGTAACTATGTCACTCAGGAGTGTGGACTTTCCATACCCCCTGAATGACATAGTTATACCTACCCAACCCTTGGTGTAAACAGCACTATGTGGATGGGAGGGCTTTTCCCGCTGACATAGCTACCGCTTCTTAGGGCAGTGGAGTACCTATGTCAACCGGAGAAGGTCTCCCGTCGGCGTAGGTAGTGTCTCCACTAAAGCTGCACCAGTGCAGCTGCAGCTCTGTAAGTGTAGACAAGCCCCTCAGTCTGTTAATCAGAGTAGAATGAACTCAAGGTGGCTCAACAGACTGAGGTTTCATTTCTCACTGATACATGAAGGATTTATACAGGTATAGTTTAAGGTTTTCATTTTTCTGAGGTGCGGTGGGGGGGAGGGATAGCTCAGTGGTTTGAGCATTGGCCTGCTAAACCCAGGGCTGAGAGTTCAATCCTTGAGGGGGCCATTTAGGGATCTGGGGAAAAATTTGTCTGGGATTGGTCCTGCTTTGAGCAGGGGGGTTGGACTAGATGACCTCCTGAGGTCCCTTCCAACCGTGATATTCTATGATAACAGGTCTGGGTAAAATACAATAGCCTAGCATTGTGCCTTTCATGGTTATCAACTGGAATCCTACTACCTGGCAGGTAACTTCTGTGGTGAAATTTCACCCTCTCCTTTAAAGTCTGATGGTCCAGTGGTGACGCTGACCTTCACGTCCAGTGCTGAAGTGGCTACAAAAGGGTTTGTTCTGACCTACTCTTTCCATGATCTACAACTTGGTAAGTTGATTACAGATTTGGTTTTGAGTGGAGTATAGAGGAAGGTTATACAAAATGTAAGAGAAAAATACATAGCAGGAGAGTCTCACGACCATTTATAAAAAGAAAACAAACCTAAAGAAGAAGCTTTAATAAATGTTCAGACAATATCTGGAAGGTGTAAAGCACTACGAGAGAGAGAGAGAGAGAGGGGCTCCCAACCTATCCATTCCAGAGAGGAGGCTTAATGAGAGTCAGAAATCTGGTTCTAACCTAGTCTCTATTATTTACTAGGTATTGAAGCAATTCACCAAACTTCTGCATCTTCTTTTCCCATCTGTGAAATGAAGGTCACTAATTAACAGCCTGACCAAAGTACTGTATATTCCGGTGGCCCCACTCATTCTGCTCTGCGTAAACTACTAACCCCTATCACCATCCCTCCTTGTTGACTTCTTTCATGACCATTCTTTTCCTTTCCCTCTCTTCTTATGCACTGAACTCCCTCCCTGAGCTAGTATGCAAGTTCATAGCTTTCCTCCTTCAAACGCCTCCCCGCACCCCCAAGACTCACTTCTGCTGCACCTACAAGAAACCAGCTAACTCATACAGCAGTTAAGGTTGGTTAGTTTTTAAAAAGTGATAGATTTAAAAAATTGATTTTTTTTTTCTTCATCACTCATCACTTTTCTCTTGTAGCCCTGGATTGGAAGCCCTTTGGGGCAGGGACTGTCATCTTTGTGAGGATAACACCTAGCACATAGTGGGTGCTACTGTCATACTACGAAGTAACTTTTGATACCCTGGGATCAAAGACATCATAGATGTGAAAAATTACTGCTTTGTCCCTTAGGATACTACTTCTGTTTTTCATGAAAGCAAATCACCTTTTGTGACCACAGCAACCTAATCCATCAGTTCTCTCCCCTCCCCCACCCCCCCATTTGTTATGCCACATAACAAAACAAGCAGAACGTTTTGTCCATGTAAAAGGTCTATCCAATATAAATATACTGTCAGTTCTGGTAAATGAGTTTATCCTTGTAAATTAACAAAACACAATCATATCTTTAAAACTTCTCCTTTTTTTTTTTGAATATTACATATTTGGAAACCATACAGACCTTTTAATGTAAATATAGGGGAACTACCTGTCCCTGTGTCAGAGTATGGTTCTTAATGCCTAATCGCTCAAGAGTTCGTGTCTACCCATTGAGGCATTCGGAATCCCTAGTTTATTTGTATGGTGAATTTAACCATTAACCATGAATATGGGAACTCTCTCATTTTAGGTTCTGCATTAGGAAAATTGAAAGCTGCTGAAAAAGGTAAGATCAGTTCTAGCTCTCTCTGCCAGCTGTGCGGGGAGGGGAGACGCAAACAATCAAACCATAAATAGCTTTTCTAAATGTCTCCTGGATTTTATTTGGAGGAGGGGCTCTGTGGTGGCTAACTTCAATACTAGAACGTAGCCAGTAATATAGCCAGCTTAGTGCCGTAACAGTTGCCCTTCACTCAGTCTGGGTGATGCTTCCACAGTTCTGTTTCTTTAATATCAGCTGGCTGCTGCTTTGTTTCTGTTCCTGCATCATGAGTTTCCACACAGGACCAGAGAACTGTGTTGGTAGCCGGAACATAAAGGAATTCTTAGCTAATCTCAAAGTCCGCCTCAACTCCCTCAGATTTTGAGTGATGGGAAAGGAAAAGCAGATAGAGTTCCCCCTTTGCCCTTGCATCCTGGAGTTGTAGCTAAAATGGCTAGGCTGTCATGCCATATGTGACACATCTGGGGGAAGGAACACACTTTTTTTTAAAGCTTGAAAATGTGAACCCTAGTGTGACATCCCGTTTTTCCAGACCCTTCCCCATGTCATTCCCAATAGCCTGCAGTTCTCCCTCCCTCACTGCCCCACCAAATGTACCCAGCGTTCACTATCCGCTTCATGCCCACCTTAGTCTTAATCTAAATGTGTGTGATGTCAAATTGCTAGTGGTGAAATAACGGAAAGTGACTGTCCTTTCACAACCTACGTAAATGAAATGTACAAGCAAAAGGACTTTGGAGAAGCCTGGAGTAATAGAGTAAAATTTATTTTAAAAATAAGTAAATTCCAGCCCTGCAGCCTGCTCTACTCTACTAAATAAAAGAAATACATCCATTGGCTTCAATGGGCTTAGCCCAGGGATGTTTTTCCAGGTATGAATTTGTCTAATTAGAAATGTTACTCCTATGGCTGAATTGTACTGGTTGTAGGATCTCAGATAGCTTGGCCTTTGGCTCTTCCAGAGTTCAACACACTTTCCAAATGATGGATCCCTTTTCCTTCTTCTAGAACATCTCTCCTATTTTAAATATACCTGTTAAGGACACTGTATCAAGCTGTGTGGAGAACTACGTTTGCTGTGCAGGTAGATCTTAGTATCAACAGGAGCTTTGTTCAAGCAGAAACCAATAGAATTTAAGTTCCACTCATAAGTATGCTTGCTTTTGTTGTTAGAAAATCATAGGGGATCAGGATTTTTCCAAAGCTGGGTGGAAATTTTTGGATGAAACTGTTTTTTTCACACCCCTCCCCTCCAGCAAAAAAAAAAAAAAAAAAACAGATTCAGGTTGACTGAGCCCTTTTATAAACTTTTGTATAGAATTAACTGAATTGTTTCAGTGGAGATGGGGGAGGGAGAGAATTGAAAAACTCAAAGCGTTTGGTTTTGACATTGAAAATGACTTCATTTTGAATTTTGGTTCAATTTTTGCTTTTGATATGCCAAACTCAAAGGAAATGTTTTTCCTTTTGGGTCTAACAAAATGCTTCCATTGACTTAAAAAAAAAAATTCTCTTCACATCTCCCAGTTATGCCAGTGATCCAAAAAAAAAAAAACCAATCAGTTGTTTGTACAGCTCTAGCATTTTCAGACCATTTTTAATGGATGTTAGAGAACACAGATTTCTGTCAGGGCAAAATCTCAACCACTGAAACTCTCATTTTTATCTTTAAGGGTGTCCAGTCTTGGATCTAATTCCAGTTGGATCTGCTGAGATAACATCTCCTAATTACCCCAACACTTATCCCAACATGCTGAACTGCACCTGGACAGTTTATTCCACTTCAGGAAATAGGTTGAAAGCTGTGATCAGAGACTTGGTAACAGAGAATGCAAGAGACTGCATTTGGGACTCTTTGAACATCTATGATGGCCCAAATCACTCTTCAGGGCTGCTCGGTAGGTTGATCTCTCTCTCGTGCCTTGTCTCAGGGAAGTTGGCCAACCTATGATGTGGGGACAATCTCTCTAGGTGGGGAACTAAACAAGGTGAAGGAGAGGAAAATGTGAGTTACTGTAGGTTTTCCAAAGGTAATGAGTGCTTCCCGAATTGTTCTACAATTCTTATTGGGTGCGGACTGGGATGGACTCTGAAGAAATTTTGAACTCAGGGACTTCTCTCGAACTATTTGTGGGGGTAACAGTAAGAGGGAGCTGCTGTCTCATACTATCTTTCTCTTTCCACTGTTCCTTTCCTCAGTCTTGTGTATCTTATGACCTGCTGCACTATATTCTATTTGTGCATCTGATCTAATATGCAATTCATGGACAGATACTACTCCTTTGTTTTGAATAGTGAAGGTAGTCTTACTGTTTGGGCATAAACAGAGTAGGATTGCTTTAGAATGTAAGAGTCTCCTGTTCTTGAGTATGGCTTTTTTTTTTTTTTTTTAATTCTGTGGCTTTGACAGAGGACCTTTAAAGGCTGAAGCTGATAGTTTGATAATTAAGGAAGCACTGTGTCTTGTGAAACACAACTATATGGAGGACTTTGTCAAAGCTTTTCCTCAGACAGTTTACTAACAAATGGCCCAGAGCATCTCACAACTGAATATTCTTGGGAGGAGAAAAATATTTTCACCCTCTTCAGGGAGGATATTAAAATACTCCTGTACTTAAAGTATTATCCCCACATACTGTAGCAGTAGACTTAGCCCGGAGCACTCAGACATTGAGTGACTTTGGGCAAATCATTTAAGATCCTAGCAAAGCTAGCAAAAGAGCTGTAAGTGGACCCCTGCCCCAGGAATCTTCATTGTCATTATAACGTTTTGACATATATCTAATTGGCCTGGGTTTTATTTTTTAAAAATGTGGCTGCCCTAGGAATAAGTTTAGCACAATTTGACAAATTTGCTTTGTCACTCTGTAAGTGTTCACCTCTTTGTAATTTGCAGCTAGTTTATGTGGCCAAAAAAAGTCTCTCAGCCTGTTATCAAGCAGCAGCTACCTGACTCTACATTTCAAGACAGACAGGTCTGTGGGGAACAGAGGCTTTAAAATTCTGTTTGGAGAGGTGAATCAGTGGCCAGCACAGAAGAGTAGGAATGGCATAGAACTTGAAAGCAAATGTAAGTAATGTTGTAGGTCTTTCTCTCTCCCAGTCCAAATAGCCTTCTTGTGCCTAAATAGTAGTAGAGGTCTCAAGGAGGGCAAACTTGAATGTACACAACTCTGTTGAGGTGACCTGTTTCCTGAAGGAATCGTCCTACACTCAGCTGAGGATGCCATGATGGCCAGTCTTCATTCTCAGCTATGGACTTGGTTGTTAATTGTACTACTAGAGGTATGTTGCCGGGGTGTTGATTTTCAGGCCTCTGCATAATTCCAGTCATGAGTGGATCAAATAGCAATATTCTTACTGAATTAATGTACGAGGCAGAACACTGGATCATACCTTAGTGGAGGGAGAATGTGGTTAACATACCTAATTGGACTTTTGTATGGTTCTGACCACCGCACCAAAGGCTTAACTGAAAGAATGGTTCTCTAGATGCTGATTGCACCCACAAGAACCAATAAACTCTTCCATGACTGCTCATGTCTCTTTGACGAGAACTCATCCAACAATTCTTACTAAAAGGATGTGTGGCTCTGGACGCAGGCCAGAGGTGTCTGTCACAAAGCTGTGTGACCCAAAGGTTAGTTCCATAGGTGCTGGAACTAGGAGTGCTGGGGGTGCAGTAGCACCCCCTTGCTTGAAGTGGTTTCCATCGTATACAGGGTTTACAGTTTTGTTCAATGGCTTTCAGCACCTCCTCTATAAAAATGGTTCCAGCACTACTGACCTGTGGAATGTTCCAGAATATTTTCCATAGAGATCCAAAAAGAGGCTCTAATGCACCTTGTCCATTACTGTTCTTGATAATTTCCTCCACTACACTTGCACTGCCAATGAAAACAGCTTGACAAGCAATTTTTTAATTAACTGTCTTTTCCTTCAATTTCTCACAGGTCCACCTACTAAGTTAACAGCTTCTGAGGAAAGTAAATATTGTTCATTTAAGGTTTCAACTATCTCGTCTCTCTCACACCAGCCCCTCCCACAGTAAACACCTATTGGAAAATTAATGGTGTGGGAAGCAGATGATTCACCCAGTTTTTCAGGCTGTCCCCTCTTAATCCTACCAGATGTACTTTGGGGATCTTGGAACTCTTGATAGGGTTGTTTCTTCTGTTTGAGCACATGTCTGATATTTCACTGTCTGGATTTTTATGCATGTTTAGCTTTGTCAAGCTATGACCAGTAAAATATGACTAACAAAATTAAACCAATTCCAGACAAATGTGGCGTTCCAGTGGTGGATCCATTCCCAGTGGACAAGTCTGAGATGAATGTGAAAGCAGTCAGTGAAGAGCCAGGCAAGCCCAGGGTGGTTGGTGGCAGCCCAGCACTTCAAATGTCCTGGCCCTGGCTGGTCAGTCTACAATACGAGAATGAGCACTTCTGCGGAGGCTCTCTGATTGCTGAGAAGTGGGTCCTAACAGCTGGACACTGTAACTTCAGGTGGGCAAAGTCTTTAACCCTTACACCACCACCACCATAGTGGAGTGTGCTAGCCTGCAGATTTTAGCAGCCTCCAAATCATTGTTGCTCCCTGACAAGCAAAACCACTTCATACTTCTTGCTTCACAACTGTCCCAGAAGTGTGTATTTACCACCTCCTCCTCCCTGCTGCTACAGCCCTTTTGAAAAACCCCAGACAGACACACATTCTTCCTTCTCCTCAAAACATACAATTTCCAGGGGTCTTCCATCAGGGCACTAGATGAATTAAACCTTAATATCCACCTTGGTTATTGGGTGACCAGTGTAATCACCCCCACTATCAGTGAAAATATCCTCCTAAAATAACTTCTACTGGCACTAATAGGTCTCTACACAGGTTTGCTTCTACATATATTATAGTATGACTAGCCTAGTGTGGTGCCTCTACCAGCCCAAGCCAAAGAGTTAATTATTACACTACATTTGAGGGTTAACTTAACTTGATGTATGCCCTCATATCTCTTCACTATTCAGTGGTAGTGAGATTGTGGCAGTTGCACCAGTATTTCATACAAAAGCATTGAGCTGAATTGTCTGACACGACTCCGTAACAGAGAGATATGCAGAATGATTCTTGGAAAGGTTTGGCACATTTGTTGTGTGGCCTGAATATTTGTGTCAATGTAGACTTCAGCAGAACTAGAATCCAGTTCCTGCTATAGTGATTAGTGTCACTAAAACTGAGTTTCGAGAATACTGGACTGCCTTGTTTAAAGTACACGTGAACAGTAATGCAAACATTTTGGAAATTGAAGGTTGATCTCTCCATTTTATTTAATTTTATTTTATTTATTTATTTATTTATTTTACAGTATGGTAACTTCTGATTGTTTTGGGTAGAATTTTCAAAAGCATCTGTGTGACTTAGTAGCAGAAGTCCCATTGAAAACCAATCAGATTTATGCTTCAAAGTCACACAGGTGCTTTTGAAAATCTCACCCATTATCTTAAGTAGAATTTTATGCCAGTTTTTTTTTCTTAACTGAACTGAAAATGTGTGTTCTGTTTTTCCTTGCTCAGTGCTCAGACAGACAGGATAGTTCTGGGGAAAACGTATTTGTTGCCAAACATAAAAGGCAACAACCCTGTCCTTGTGAAAACTGTGCACACGCACTATAACTTCAGTGGATTTCCTTCCAGCAATGATCTCTCTCTCTTGGAACTGGAGAAACCCATCAAACTCGGTACTATCTGGAGTCCAGTTTTTGTACTACAACTCTAGCTGTGTCTAAGTATGTGGTGCGGGATTGGCATGCTCCCTTGAAAAGGTTCTGATCCAAGACATGCTGTCTGATAAATATATGTAATAATATAACTCTGTTCTCTTCAGTAGCCATTAGGACACCACTACTATCTGGATAAGCTCATGCGGAGCCTGATCCAGGGAAGTCCGTAGAAAGTCTCCCGTATTTAAAATAGTATTTAAAATACTAAATTTAGAAGAACCAAGAGTAGGTACATAATTTCCATTATGAGGCCCTTCCTTTTTCTCACTGCATAAAGATTTGTGTGTATAACTCTCTGGCACTGACAGGCACATATACCTCTTTCTTTTGAAGCAAAGTATATTGCTTTGAACAAAGTATCTTGTTTGACAAAGCAAGTTAGCCGTGTTCAGAATTTAAAGGAATAGTTTGTTTACCACTCTACAAAATATCATCTTAGCTGTGTATATAGAGACAGTCAGAGAATATCCATCCATGGTTAAACTTAGATTTAATTCATGAGTAGGGGTGTTTATTCCAAAAAATACTAGTGTTACAGCTTGGTCAACAACATATTGGTGGAATAGAAACGTGGTGTAAACAGAGTTAGTGCCCGCTAATACTGAACTTTGAGTTAGTGAACCGTAGACACTGCTGTACACCCTCTTTGTGTGCTGTTGCTAATGCAGATCAAGCACCTCTTTCCCTCAATCCATTGAATCACTGTGTAGCTAGGGGGAGATTGGTCCACTGGTGAAGGTTTTTTTGTGACTTGCTTGCATGACGGGATTAATTGTGACTGACTTAGGAGTGTGCACTTGCTTGAGTTCTGCAGGAAGCCTAATTAAAAGTCTCCAACTTGGTTTCTCTGTCACAGTGTTTCAGAAGTCTCCCTCCCTCCCACCTTATTTATCAGACCAAAGTAAAGTGATGTCAGCCATATTGTGGTATGGTCACTAGGCAGAGACTTAAATATTGTAAAAGACCCACATTTCATGTAATTGTGACTCTTTTTAAAATGGTTCTCTCCGGCATTCAAACAGTCTGTGGGGAAAACCTAAACAATACTAGAGCCCATATGGTGCTATGATTTGTTTCATGGGATACTGGGTTGTTTGGTTTTGGGGGAAGTGGTGACTAGGAGAAAGGGGGTTAGAAAAACTGGAGATGGGCTAAATAAAAAAAGGGAAACTATACCAAATACCGACCTGATTCTCTTCTACTCAGGAGACTCTATAGCAATAATTTGCTTACCAGATAGAGATGAGGAAATAAGCATTGATGCAAGATGCTTAACAGCAGGATGGGGAGCAACAGAACCGGGCAGTAAGTACATGTTACTTTTCTAATATTAAAGAAAACCTATGAAGTCCAGAGCCTTGTGAGAGCTTAGCTGCTTGTTGCCTTCTAAACTCAGTTTACTTTTTGTTTCCAATATTGCCCCGATGTGTGACACATTTTCCAAACAGAAAAGAAGGTGTAGTGACTTTCCCAAAAAAGCTCACTCTATTAAAACATAGGATAGGGAAAGGGTAACAACAAACTTTAATGTGGTGAGACAACTTTCATGGTATCTAGATACCTCTTTGATCTCCTTGACCCTTGTCAATTGGTACGTTGGTTGTGTTAGATGATCTCCACTTGGGGTTGAGGAGCTGGTGTTAAACCCCTAATTACTCTTGAATGACAGTACAAGAGGACCAGGAAAGTTGTTTGGTTTTTTGTGGGGGGTTTTCCACTGACTTTTTCCTGGCAAGGGTTTATTAACATACTCACAGTGTTCTGTTGGCTCACTGCATGCATGTATAACTGAGCTACAGGAGAGTGGGGCTTTGTCCCCATTCAACGACTGGTCCATATAGTGCTTCCAGTGAATGGACTTAATTCATGCGTTAGCTCAGCTGACCCTCAGTTATAATTTTAGCTCTCAGGGTCCAGGGTTCAAACCCTGCTGATGACACAGGTGCAGTGAGTTATACCTGGCTGTGTGAATGGAGGGGAATTCTTTTTCTCTGAAGACGCACATGGAATCTCATTCTATGCAATGTGTTGAATGTGCATATGAAATGATGCAAGGTTCTAAAATTGTGTGTAAATGGAAATAATTTCTGCAATAGTAATCCCCAAATTGTAGTGTCAAGAGATGCCTGGCATGGCTGAAGAGGTTAGAGGATAACTGACATAATACACGCCTTAAATATGTAACCTGTTGTCATCCTGCCTCAATGGCACATCTCCATGCATTCCTTTGTTTTCACTAGAGGATGAATACTCCATCAGGCTGCAGCAGACAAATATACCTCTCCTCTCCAACGAGGCCTGTGTGAGCTACTGGGGACAGGATATTAAAAATACCAACATTTGTGGTGGAGCTGCTGGAGCAACTGCTTGCTCGGTACGGACCTGGACGGGGGATGTGAATACTTGCTTTCCAAGCTACTACTGGTGGCAAAAATGTAGCTACATAATGCGCTCCTGGGCACTATGGTAATACTACTAATATATCATTGAAGGTCAGAGTTTGAAACAGGACCCTTGTAACTCAGCTGATCTAAATATTTGTGAGCTGATTAAAAAACCCTTTTTACTCTCTAGTAGCAGCAAGTAACTTTTTTTTCTTTCCTCTTTACAGGGAGATTCTGGAGGGCCACTGATATGCATAATAAATGGTTATTATAAGCTGATCGGCGTTGTGAGCTGGGGCAGTGATAATTGCCATCCAAAGTCACCAACGGTTTATACCAGAATTTCTGCCTACAGGGACTGGATTTCCTCAGTCACTCATGGAAAAGTGTGATTGCTGAACTGAACTCTTATTTATTCCTTTTTTAAATGGGGAGGGATGTGTGAAATGTGCCTGGTAAAAATACCCAATAAATATGGCAGCATCTGTCACATACCCTGATTTTCTTTAAACATCTAAAGTGACTCTACTAATGCTCAATCTCAGCTGTCTTTTTCTAATGGTAAATCTAACACTCTAGCATGAAAAATCCATCTCCCAAAAGGTGTATGTACGTGAATACACATCTCTCCTTACATGGTTAGCATTGCCATTATTAGGGCCAAATTCTGTGCTGGTCTAAATTAGTGCAGTTCTTCTGAAGTCAAAAGAGCTGCATTAATGTACAAACAAAATGTGTTTATAAAAAATTTATTTAGCATGGCAATGTTCAGCTGTTGTTCCGTTGACCACTCCCATAACTTTTAGATCCACTAATCCCAAAAGAATAGTACAGACCAGCTGTTCAGATTCAGTTCAGGATCACCACTGTACTTAACACACTGCACTTAGTCTTATTGAAACGAAGGGCCTTGTCTGGTAGAAGTAAAAGTGGAGATAATGAAGAAGCATCTTGACCAGCTGTTCCAGGGTAAAGGTGCCAAGAAAAGGTGGGAAAAGCACAGACATGGAAGCTGGTGACCATGTCCTTTCCCAGCCATTACTATTCATGGGAAGATGATGTAAATGAAAACACTGTAGAAGGTAAACCTCAACAACCCAATGAGGAACTGAAATTGGAACAAGAGTGTGGTGTACCTCCTGCTGCTACTGGTCTTGTCCCCAATGACCTCCCACTTCAGTGGCCATTCTGGGCATGCTGGGTGGTGCAAGGTTGGTCTGGCTATTGGAGGGAATCAGTTGTCAGCAACTGTAACAGGATATGAGGTGCAGCTCTATGACTGTGTTTTTTTTTTTTTTTTTTTTTTTTTTTAATTCTTCAAGTTGTGAGAGGATGGGATGGATCTGCTCCATTTACCAGGGAGTTTTTCTCCTCTCATAAACCCTTTATATAGGGGAGGGAAGGGGACTAAGAAAGAATTACCTTGGCAGGAAAGGATCTGTGAAGGAAGAGGATCCGGAGATCTCTAAAATACAAGCTTCCACCCCCTTCTCTGTGTTAAAGGTAAGGATGACTAGTTGGAAGAAATTACTGCAGGTAGATAGCATCAAGACACTTCATTTAGCTAACAGGCTTTTGTTTCTGTATTGAGAAGTCTGTTTCTTTCTTTATGTTAATCTTAAAACTAAGTTAAATAGATTCATGAACTTGTGTTCTTGCATCAAACTTACATCTTCAGTGTGTTTTCTGTGCATGCCTCTTGTCTCTGATAGTGCATCTTCATTACCCAACACAGTGCTAAATGCTCATCCTGTCAGATGCTTCCAGCCATGCCATACATGCAGCCCTCCCACACCACTAAAAATAAGTATTAAAAACTACTACAGCTGAAAAGAGTAGTGTGTGAGTAAGACACAACTAGGCCTTTGTCTGACTGCTGTCTGTACCACCAATGCCAAACATTTAAAAAATCACGAGTCAGGCCCTCTCAAAATTGTGAGATTGGCTTAAAAAACCCAATACATTTAAGGCTCTTTATTTGCCTTGTGGTTTTTAGGATTCATGTTTTTAGCCCTTGTAGTTAGGGAGAAAAGCTCGGGGGGAAAAATTTCCCCTACAAAAGCTGAGATTCTCACAGTAACGTGACTCTGGAGCGTTAAGAAAAACCCCCAATAGGAAACTCTCTCTAAAATCATGAGTAGACCATATTGTGTGCTCAGACACTACTAGAGGTCTCCTGTCTGTAGAGGCAGCTGCCATTTTGGGGACAAAAGGTGAGACGATCTTTTATAGAAGAAAAATGCCCTGTTCACACGCTCTCATGGAGATCTCCTGGAGACTTGACTTGAAGTGACCTACCAGATATTCAAGGTTCCTGCTCAATATTCAGGATCCTGGACCTGTTCCTTTTAATGTTCCAGGTGGCTTGCTCTGTGTGTGTGTGTGTGTGTGTGTGTTTGTATTTGTAAGAGGGCCTTACAGGACTGACTTTTTTTTAAAGACTCAGAATAATTTAAAAGAACACTGTATAGACCTAAAAATTAACAGATCGATATGTTTTTGAAACAAATTACTTGGAAAATAATTTATTCTTTTCCTTACTAGCCAGGACCTGAGTTCAGGACTCTAGATTTCCCCTACTTTAGCTGGTGACGTTACACCTAAAGGAAAGGTAAGGAAAAGACACAAATAATCTGATCTTCAGAGATGTTGAGCACCTACCACTCTCATTGAATTCAGTGGGATTATTCGCGTGAGTAACTTTTGGCCAGAAAAGAAGCTAGTGTGCTGAATTGGAAGTTGACATACGAGCGGGAGGTCGGGAGAGAACCCTCTTCTGTTTGTGAAAATAGTAAGTTTTTGGTTGAAAGGTTTGGTTTGGTGTCTGTATGCAAGACTGTGCATGATATATGTGTGTATTTATATATACACATACACACCCATTTCCTCCCTTGTTAACTATATTCAGATACACTTTTACCCTTCCTCTACTGGACAATCACTTTTAAAATTAGCCTGCGCTGATAGGACTTTGCTGTGGAAGATTTTATAGGGGATTGGTAACTATTCCTGAATCTACAGAGTGTAAGTTTTTGCTCTGCTTTCAAGTAATATGGCTTACTGCTGATTAGCAGGTTCAATTTCATGCACTACCAGATGTAGTATAAATATTAAGATATTAGTTTTGGATGGGATTAACTGAAGCACTGGCTGTATCACTAGGTAAATACTAGTTCCTATTCAGGAGTGACTAAAAAAACCATGGGCATTGACTGCACAAGGTACAGTTCAGTGGACAGTAACTTACATGTGTATGGAACAGGTGTAAAATCTTACCACGGTGTAAGAGCAGAGAATTCTGACTTGCACCCAAAATGTACTTTTAAAAACTGGAACTCTTTATTAATTGACAGGTTGTTATATTCTCGGTTAGTGGGATGAAGGTTTTGTGGAATGTTTTACCAGTTTCTGATCTCAGAATAGAATTTGGGTACAATCTCCTTACTTTTCATAGCATTCTCTTGATTTTTTTTTAAATTTGATCTTGGGACTGTTTAAAATACTTCCAAATGGGTAAGCAATTTTGCTGGAGAGAAAGCGTAAATACGGCCACATTGTTTCTGAGATAAAACTCTTGGTTTGTCAGCTGCATTCAAAAGAGAAGTTGCACAGAAAGAATAGTTTTTAGTTCAGCCCTGAACTTGGCAAGTGTCTCTTAAAAATATATAATATGACTAGGAAAGAGGGAAATAGATATATGTATGTGTACATGCAAGGTCTATTCTATATTTAAATATGAACTAATGGCTCATTTAGAGTTTTACGTAAGCTACACAACACTGTTTTCCAATTCCTATGCCCCAGTGCAGCATACGTCTGCCTTTAGTGCTGGCTCTGGTCCTGGTATATAGAGTCCAGGATTCAAGGGGATGATAGTGGGGTAGGCATTGCAGATAGCGAAGAGGCATGTTGGCTGTGGTCTGTGCTTATAGCATTGTACCCTGGCCTGTGGCACAGCCAGGCCACACCTGGAAAAGGAGGACCAGATCTTGTGTATGAATGTGTTTTATTATGGACTCTACTCTAGACAGAAAGAAGTCTCATATGGATCCTTCTGCTGCCTATGATTTGCTGGTGGCTGGTGTCCAGGACTGGGACCTGACTGGTGACTGTGTTCCTTGTGAGCTGCTGCTCATCGGAGAGACTGCCTTCACGGTGCTGGTGAACCCTCAGGGGCAGGTCCTGGTCGCTGCCTCGCAGTATGGCAAGGGCCGGATAGGGGTGGTAGCTCACGAGGGATACCTGGGGAAGCCCAAGATGGCACAGTTCCTTCAAAATGCAGTCAGCTGGCTCAGTATCTCCCCCCCCGCCCCCAAGCAGTGTCGGGGGGTGGGGTGGGGGGGGTCCACACAACTTGAGAGGTCTTATGGAGATTCTCCATAGGTCTGGCATTAGAATGCAGCCCTGCTCTGCGATCACGTCCTCACTTGGCGTTTATTGTACAGACGCCTATGATGATACACAGATGAGGGACCTGATCCACTTTGTAAAGAAAGGTGGGAGGTTGCTCACTGGGGGTCAGGCTTGGCATTGGACCTGTGAGCACAGCCGAGAGAGAGTGCTGTTTGATTTCCCTGGGAACCGTGTCACCCATGTGGCTGACGTGTACTTCACAGCCAGATATGGTGAGAAGAGGATCTTCAACGTCTCAGGAATGGTGCCAGCGATTCCTTTGATCACTCCATGAGTATCCGAACCATTCTACACATGTTTAAAGGTATCGTTAAAAGTACTGTAAAATATTATGTAGCCTCTCCATAATTAAGGTGGCAATCTGCTTCCATTATAAAGCTCTTTGTTAACATCCTTATAACTTCAATATGGAAAATCTATTTGGCCTGAAAAATACTGTGCAGTCTCTGAAGGCAATAAATAAATAAAATTTTAAAAATTCCACAGTTTGAAGGAAATTGGTGAACCTATTTCTTAATAACAAGTCATCAAAAATTATTTCGATTTGAGTTTACTTTTCCCCTCTAGCTCAAAAATAGCTGGTTAGCGCCCCCTTCAAATTTTCCATAGAGTTAGTTCTCCTTAAAGATTCACCTGCTAGCTATATTTGGGGGGGAAAATACATTACAATTACACAAGTAGTTGTACATTTTTGATGGGATAATAAAAGGGGGACAGTCCTGCTCCCACTGATTTTTTTGCTGTTGATTGCAATGAGTGTAAGATTGCGCAGCATGCGCCTTGTTTTCAGAAGACTTCTGAAAAAACGGTTCAAGATAGTGTAACCCTTCTGCCAGGCCAAGTTGATAGCAGCAAGGGCCGGGTTCAGTACATAGGGGTCCCTTCCCAACAGCGTGACACAGAACCAGCTCGAGCCCCCACCCAGTGACCTGGGAAAATCTTACACACACCCCTGGGCGCCTCGAAGAGGCAATACTTCCCCTCTCGCAAGCACAGAGCCTCGGTGTAGCAGAAAAATGTTTAATAACATGAGGTAAACGACATAGCATTAAATTGGGAAAACACCACAACTAGAGTTCATAGACCAAACCATGAGCGAAGACCCACCCCAGCAAATTGGGCCGTGTCCTTTCCCGTTGGTTCTTGAAACCAGCAACCAAAGTCCCAAAAGTCCAACAACCCCAAAGTCTCTTGGGTCCAGCAACCCAAGAATCACCAAAGTCCCAAAAGTCCAACAACCCCCCAAAGTCTCTGTCCCTGGTCAGTGCAGCCCCAGAGTTCAGGGGGGAGGGGCGCAGGGTGTTAAGGGGCACCTTACGTGATCCGAGACCAACCGGCCGCCTCTCCGTGGGGTTCCGCCGCAGCCTTCACCACGAGCCGCTCCACTCCACCTGCTGTCCCGTGAGCCGCTCCTGCCGTCCCACGAACTGCTCTGCTCTGCTCCGCTCACCGACCTGTGAGCCGCCCGGCTCCACTCCGCTCCAACCGTCCCCGCAAGGCTCCGCTCTGCCAGCTGCTCCTCCAGCTGCTCTGCTCCGCTCACCGACCTGTGAGCCGCTCCGCTCTGCTCTGCTCTGCTCTGCTCTGCTCCAACCGTCCCCGCGAGGCTCCACTCGGCTAGCTGCTCCTCCAGCCGTCCCCGCGGACTGCTCCGCCAGCCGCTTAGCAATTCAGGCTCCCCCACTAGTTAACACAGCCTCAGTGATCTCAGCTCTTAGTAACTTTAGCTCTTTTGTGATTTCAGCTCATAGTGATTTCAGCTCATAGTAGGGGAGCCCCAGTGCTGGTGCACTAGTGGCCCAAAGTGAACTCAGCTCAGCAGCCTGTAACTAGACTCCTAAGGGAATCAAAGTTAGCTCTGACATTCAACAGTGGAGAGAGGAGAAGGTGCAATTGGTGTTTCAGGCTCACGCAGGGGCCCCACACCACCAGGTAGCAATACCTGCCCCCAACCTCTCTCAATTCACTGCGTTTTGTAACCCAGGCCCCTTGACAAGCAAATGCTACTTAGGTAATGGTGACGGATTCACTCAGTCCTTCTGTCATACAACAGTCCCACTGGCCTTGATTCACAGAATCAGGGTAACAAACCTTTATTCTTCCTGCCCCAATAATAGAGAAACTGGGGATCCCACACCAGCCAAAGTAACCACTTTCAGTTGCTGTGTTTCATGCCAGGCGAGTGGGTGTGCCTATGCAAACAAGATCAGCCCCTGGAATTCTTTTCCACACTCGCCATAATTCACCACCAGATGTCAGGGTAGAGCTCATCCTGACTCTGCTTACAATAGGTAGAGGTGTGTGTGTGTGAGAGAGAGAGAGAGTGCAGTTGCGGCTTATCGCGCATAAGGAACCTTCCACAGGTGACGGTTAACAGAGATATTCCTATAGCACAAGTGCTAAAACATTTTGTTTCTTGTCGCTGTAGGACCAGGGTTTGAGTTCAGACTCTGTGTGTGGTTTATTAATGGAGACATGATGGCCTCTCAATAGCCAAGCTTCTGCCTGAGGTCCCATTCTATGGGCTGGTCTTCATTACAGGGAGATTGATGCTGCTACAATCAATGCAGCGGGTGTCGATTTAGTGGGTCTAGAGAAGACCCGCTAAATTGACGGCAGAGCGCTCTCTGGTTGACCCGGTATTCCAGCTCTCCTAGAAGAGTAAGGGAAGTCGACCGGAGAGCGTCTCCCATTGATGTAGAGAAGTGAAGACACTGGGGTAAGTCAACCTAAGCTACATCGACTCCAGCTACGTTATTCACGTAAGTTGACACCCCCGTAGTGAAGACAAGCCCTATGGCTGATATCAATCCCTAGTGTAATTTGTAATTGCAAGAAATCATGGTGCTTTCACGTGTGGAGTTTCGAATGTCAAAACTTTGAAGAAAACTTTTGAAAATTAACATTTTCAGCAAAAAGAAAATTTTTAATGGTTTAAGAAAAAAAGAATCCTGACCAGTTGTGTCGGCACAAGCACTGTGACATGCGTCGGCACAAGAGACCATCACAGAATTTTGAACATAAGTAGATTTTTATCCTGGCTCATGCATGAGGTAGTTTTCTAGGGAAGCAATGGTGAAGGATTTAAAAAGTTCTCATGCTTTGAAAACCATATGTGACTAACTGCCATTGAAGCAAGCGAAGAATAGAAACTCTAAGTGACTTGCCAAAAGTTGCATAGGAAACTTGTGGCTGAAACAAAACTGATCTTTTCAGTTTTTGCAGTAGCACTGCAATTCACGCTTCTGTGTTTGTGCTCCAAAAATATTTTTATAAAGATCACATTTTAAAAAGTGTAATTCTGGAAATATAACTAAGCCAATTTTACTGCTATGCTTCAAAGCAAAGCAATGTGTTTTCAGATATCCGAAGAGCTGAGTTGCTCAGTGAAAAGCGTATCTCCTCACCTCTCTCATTCCTTTTATCTCTGCTACCATGTCAGTCATTTGCATCTCACCAATTGCTCCCCATATGTGGCCATTTCATATAACAGAAGGTAAAGGGCAAGAATGAATGACATGTAACAGCCACATCATGATGATGCACAGTAAAGGGTCAAAAAAAGGCAGGCTTTGGTTTTTCATAAATGGAAAAAAAAATAGACCAGATTTGCTGTGGAGAAAAGGAATGGATATTTTGGGTGGAATGAGAGAAGGGCCAGATTGGTGCTGGGTATGGATAAGGAAGATGAAGGATTTAGGCACACACTCTTATCAAACATCTCCAACAGAACTGAGGACGGCTCAGAAGGGCATTACCTTGTCAGAGCTGAACTGGCAGGCTTAGGCAGCGAGGTGACTCTGATTGAAGGATATTTTGATCCTACTATGGGCAGGGTGGATAAACCAGACTCATGTCTCAGCTCAGACGATTCTATGCTAGTGTTGGCATTTCACCTGATGGCGACCTCTCTTGGCTTTGCAGACATGAGCTAGATCTCTGCAGACACTTAAAGCTTCTCTTCAGAGGGGTGTCTGAGTTGGACATAGTGACGGGTGGCGTGCCCTCTCATTTGCTCGTCCATGGGGCTTTGGCCTTCCCCCTTGGCATGGATGGCTCCTACCAGTGTTTTCTTGCATCGGCTCACTACGGCCAGGGCCGTGTGGTAGAAGCTATGCCTGAGAGCCAAACTTATGTGCTGCAGCTGATGCCGTTCCTTCTCAATGCCATTAAGTGGCTAGGTGCTGGGAAGAAAGGGAGGATTGGCATCAACCCCAACCTAAAGAGCGTCCATGACCTGCTAACTCAGCAGAAGGTCGTGTGCGAGATCTCAGCTCTGACTGACAACCTGAGCATTTACTGCTGCCAGTCCTACAGTGACACAGAGGCCAAGAAGATCCATGAGTTTGTGTCAGAGGGAGGAGGCCTGGTGATTGGAGGTCAGGCTTGTTGGTGGGCTTCCTAAAATAGTGACCAGACCACTATTGCTGAATATCCTGGCAACAGAATCCTCAACCGGTTTGGGATCAGCATCTTGGGGCAATATATGGAGACAGATAAATACCTGGTATTATGACCAGCAGAGGAGCTGCAATGTTACCACTTCTGCAGGGCACGCCCTCAATTCCAGCAGCACCTAGCCAAGAAAGAGGAAATCCAGCCCCAGCTGAAGGGCTGGCTCCAGAAACTGGGGCAGGACTGCATGGAATTGCTCCAAATCCCTATCAGCGATAGCCCCACATATTCCTTGCTCCACTGTATCCTGTACACAATACTGCACAGCAGTGGGATCCCACCTGTGTGCAAGGAATGCCCAGTCCAGAACAGGACCAAGGAGGCAGTGCTCCTGTGTCTGGCCACAGAGCTGTCCCAAACTATGCCAGACTGTGCTACTGTGAACTTCCCACCATCCCTCATATCACTCTGGAAGTCAACGGCATAAACCCAGGTGAAAGAAGCTGTCCATTCACTACCACCCACAAGTGGTATCATCTGTAGAACATGCAAAAAAATAGCACTGCTTTCCATGAGCCTGATGAGACCACACCTAGAATATTACTTGGTGTTCATAGAATCATAAGTAAGGTTAAGATTTTGTCACGGTTATTTTTAGTAAAAGTCACGGCCAGGTTGCAGGCAGTAAACAAAAATTCACAGAAGCCTGTGACCTGTCTGTGACTCTTACTTTAAAAAAAAAAAAAAAAGGGGGGGGGGGGGGGGGGGGGAGCTAACTGCCTGGGGGGGATTATGGACTCTACTCTATAATAGCTGTTCAGCCCCCCACCACCCGTGACAGCTGCGGGACCTGCAGCTCAGAGCTTCAGGGCTGAAGCAGCAAATGTCACGGAGGTCTGTGAAAATCAAGGAATCCGTGACTTCCATGACAAAATCTTATCCTCAATCATAAGTTACCAATATACAATGGGTATTGGGTTAGGTGTAGTCCATTTCCATTTTCTTCCCTCCAACTCTTCCTGAAGCCAGGGTAGACTTTCCCCTACAATCTTGATGGGGAAATACATTTCTAAGAAGTGCCAGTTGCTTGAGTCATTTAGTATTGGACTGGATAAAGCAATGGAGAACAGGACCTAAGACGTGCCCCTGTGGTGATATGCAAACACAGCATTGAAGATCGGGAGATGTCTGTCTCCTCTCTCCGGGGTGGCCTGATTTACATCATAGTGCCAAAGGGCAGCCAGTTGGGTAACATGCCTATCACTGTGAAAGGGGTTATGCAGGCTCCTTTCTTCAGGCTTGGTAAGTACGTGGATAAATGCACTGCACAGCTTTCACTAGACAATGTTGCTACAGCTCCTGATTTTGAAGACCTAAACAAAAGCATACCTCTAAGTATCAGTGACTCCACTTGGAACAGTTCTCAGTCAGCTGTTCAATGCTTGCAAGTGCTTTTTCCCCCTCATCTTTCACCTCTGCTGCCACCAAGTGGCACTATTTAATATTAATTTTGGGGAAGCATAGTCTATATTCTTCCTAGTCCTTTGTGTATTGCTTTCAGTCTTGTTCTTTGTCATGCATCTCTGACCTCCGAGTCGTCCTCTGCCTCTGGGTCCCGCTCCACATCCTTGTCCAAGATTTCCTCCTCCTGGCTCGATCCACTCTTGACTGGCACGCGAAGCCACTGAAGTATCCACAGTGGCCTTCGCAGTGGAGGTGGGGTTGCCGCCGAGTATCACATCCAGCTCTTTGTAGAACTGGCAGCTTGTGAGCGCAGCACCGGAGCGGCGGTTTGCCTCCCGTGCCTTTTGGTAAGCATTCCACAGCTCCTTCACTTTAACTCTGTGCTGCAGTGTGTCCCGGTCATGGCTCCTTTCTGCCATGCATCGTGAAATCTGTACGTAATATCATAGGTCCTACGGCTGGAGCGCAGCTGGGACTGGACAACCTCCTCTCCCCAAATGTTGAGGTCCAGCAGCTTGGCATTGCTCCAAGTGGGGGATCGCCTGGTGCGTGGAGAAGGCATGGTGATTTGGAAAGATGTGCTGAGACCACTCCCTGCATCACCGAGCAAACAGGAAGGGGACTTTCAAAATTCCCAAGGAATTTAAGGGGTGAGGCTCACAGCTGATCACCTGGAGGCAAGGCAATAGAGCTCAAACTGATGACCAGAGAGGCAAGAACAGACATTGTGGGACACCTCCTGGAGGTCAGTCGCAGCGCTGTAATCGACCAGGGTGTCTATACTGGCACCATAGTGCTGTACCTCCAGTGCAGAAAGCTGTATGCCTCTCATCGGGGTGGTCTTTTTTTATAGCGCTGCAACTGCGCACTAAGTGGCTTGGCAGTGTGTACACCTCGGGAGTTACACCGCAGAAAGCGACTTTACTGCACAGAAACTTGCCAGTGCAGACAAGGCCAGAGAGAGAATCATTATGGCACATTCTTGTGTATTTTACAAGTCTCCTGCTTCAAGGGCTTAGGGGACGTGAACTCCCATTGACGTGGACAGGAGCTATGTGTGCATGGAAAGTGTATTTAAGGCCTTATCTACACTACACAATGAAGTCTACCTACATTAGGTCGATGTACCACCACCATAGTAATTACTGCAGTTTTTCATGTTCACACTGCCCTTCTGCCACTGGTGTGTGTTCTCTCCAGGAGCACTTGCACCAACCTAAGTGGGGCAGTGTAGGGGGCTGAGAACCCGGGTTCTCAGTGCCGGGAGCTGGGCTCCCACCTGGGATCTCTGCGCGGTGCTGACAGGCGATATAAGTAATTCAGTGTCTACACTGCATTCGCCTCTTGTGGAGGTGGAGTTATTAGGTCGGTGTAGTGGGGGATTTATATCGGCGGCAGCAACGCTGTAGGGTAGACATTTACACAGTTAGGTCGACTAAGGCAGTTTATGTTGACCTAACCCTGTAGTGTAGACCTGGCCTAAATCTGTAGTGAGTATGTATGGCTCATTGAGTAGAGCAAACTGTAAGGCGGTTTGTGAGACTTCTCATAGGTAGGGGGCTAAACTCAGACCTGCGGCAACGTTACCACTGGTATGGAAATGCAACTCCACTTAACCCAGGGGAGTGGTGCCTGGGTACATTAATTTGAATTTAGGCCACAGATTAGGATATTAATCATTTCCGATTTAAAAATTAATTGTGAAGTATTTTCCTACATAATTTTTCTTCAGTTTTGATCTATAAAGCTCATAATTAAACTGACCCATAATGTTCAGTGTTTCTTGTACATAAGGCAAAAGCAGCCCTAATGAAAGTAAACCCAACTCCATGGAAATCAGTGAGCTTATATTAGGTATATTTTTGACCCATAGCCCTTAGAACATCTGCTAGTCTAACAAAAACGATCATCATAAAAGAATTTGTGAGGCAAAAACCTTAGCCTTGAGTATTCAGACAAATGAAGCAGGGGCTATGTGACAGCAACAGCATTAAATTTTCCCTCAAAGTAAAATGCCAGAGGTGTCATCTACAGGAGGGAAGAGGGTTTAACACTTTCCTTCCCCTGAAGTCATGACTCTAATTCCCTTCCCCCTTCACTGTTGCTATTGTCTTTATATGGAAGGTGTTCAGATACAGAGATGAGCAGCAGGATAAAATCCTAAAACAGATCTTAATGTTTTGAGGTTTTTTTGACTTGCACTAAAGACTAAGCAGTGTTTTTACGGAGCTGTCGGCAGTGACCGCCACATCTTTTTTCCTGAGTGGCCACAGTCAATTTAGAACCCATCAAAACAAATGGTACAATTTTCATAACATTTTGCAGGGAATTTATGAATTTAAAAACATAAATGAATCCACACGGCATGGGGGGTGCAATATAACTGTGTTAATGTTGCTCTGGGAGATCTTCCTTTTGAATTTCCTGATTTAGAATTCAAATAAACCAAAAAAGATACAGCTGAAGCGATATACTCTGCTGTAGATGTTTGCGTTTAATCTTGTTGCCACATTGCTCCAGGAGAGACCTCTAAGCACCAGTGGGAGACCAGCATCTGTCACTATCCTGCTCCATGGTGGGGAACTAGCTACCAAGAACCTCATCTTGACAGTGCCTTCTGACAGCATTTGCCATATAGAGAACCCAGAGCCTTTGTTGACCCTCTGGGAGCAGATAATGGCAGCTGTAGCTAAGCTGGCAGCAGCACTGCAAACGTTTCCTCGGCCAGAAAGGATTGTAGCAGATGTTCAGATCTCAGCTGGTGAGTATAACCTACTGTCATAAAAGGCAGCTGAGTAGCCCTGTAGTGCAGACAACTGAGCTGGAGGCTGGGAGCTAGGAGCTCTTACATTCCAGCCTCCCACTGTGTAGCTTTGGGGCAAGTCATTCAACCTCTGTATGCATCCTAAGGTTCCTATGGGTTTGCCTCTGGCTGTCCTTCTGACTAAAAGGCAAGGCTGGTAGAATTTGTCATTGTTACTGATGCTCATAGACCACATTTAAATAGGCTTTATTTCTAGAGTGCACCTCCCACCCACCCAAGCACTTAGGGAGGCGGGTATAATATGGTAAGAAAACACTGTAAGATTTGTGGTATTCACCTAACCCCAAATATTTTTCCACACACATTCATTGTAATGTCTTAATGAATTCTGTTCTAATACCACCCTCCTCACCCTAGTAATCGGGCACCTTCCAGTAGTGCATTGCTAATAGTTGTCACATGTGGCTTGTTCTTTCATCCTCTCCCCATGGGGAGAATTGGGTGTGCAATGGAGTGTTTTGTTTGGGAGGAGGAGGGGATTTTTAATGTGCATGCTTCTATTATTATTACTTGCATTACTGAGGAGCCCCAGTCATGGACCAGGACCCCAGTGTGCTAGGCGCTGTACAAAAACAGAACAAAAGGATGGTCCCTGCTCCAAAGAACTTTTTTTTTCTATGTGTTGAATTCTTTTGCTGTGCTCCTCTCTTGTTTGCTCGTCTCACGAGTATTGGAGCAAGCGTTACTGGTAAATGCTCACGGAAAACAAATCTGAGTTATATGAGCCAATATTTGTGAAAACTGAGTTTTTTAAATCCCATGTGCAAGTATTCTCACCAGAAGTGCACTACTCTGGGGGGCGTGGGGGTGAGAAAATAGAAACAAAACCATGTGACTTACCTGAGCAACATGGATCAGTGTGTGAATGTGGAGCATCAAATACACCAAACAGTGTTTTTAAAAATAATTTAACTTATCAAATAAAATGTGAGGAAACCACAATCTGCTTTAGGATAGCTCACAAGCAGAACAAGGGGTTGAATTTGCCGGATGAATTATTTCTTGTGAATTGTTGTATAGCTCTAAAGCCTGCAATAAAGTAACGGTTTTAAAATGAGTTTCCCCTCTGGGCTGTTGGCTCCATCTCCTCCTATCAGGCTGGATGTATACTGGGTTCCCCATTGTGTGCCATTTGGATTCAGTGAAGGAGTTAGTGAACATGGAATACATACAAGCCAATGTTCTGTGGGGTCCCATTCATGAGCTGGGACACAACCAACAGTGGGGAAGCTGGGAATTCCCCCCTCACACCACTGAGGCCACATGCAACCTCTGGTCTGTCTATGTGCATGAGAAAGTGCTAGGATTCCCAGACAGAGAGCTCATGAAGAGCTTCACCTGGGGCGCCAGAGGGAGAGGGTCAGATGTTAGCTTGAGAAAGGGGCCTGCCTAAAGGACTGGAGTATCTGGATTGCACTGGAGACCTACCTGTAGGTGAGATGGGGAGAATGGAGTCAGACATTCTTATGAAACTGCTTCTACAAAAATGGCTCCCTGATTGGGTATCATGGCTTCCACAAAGTGGTGTTTTATCAGTTTTCTCATGTTTGTTTGGGTGTGAGGCCTGTCATGGAAAGCTCCATAATGTACTCCTTGGGGAATTCTGTGCCAAAATATTAAAAATTCTACAGCAAAATAAAAATTATTAAAAATTCTGCTTATTTTTTTTGTCAAAATAATGCAGTATAGTCCAGCTAGTTTCAATTATTTTGGTAATTTATTTAAATTACAATACAATGGATGGAGAATGGGAGTGGGGAGCTGTGATAAATAAGGGGGGGTAGCTCCCTTTTATGGACATCCAGCCAGTCAGTAGCTATAGAATCCTCCTTAGCAGCTGTGCCCTAATTGCCTTAACTGTAAAGTGTTAAGAGAAGCTTAACCTGAGTTTGCACCTGACCAGAGAACCAATAGAGGCTTTACCCTTTCAAATTGGAAAAACTGCTGGCTGTGGAGCGTTTTTTTTTTTTTTTTTTTCTCTCTCTGGGGCTGGAGAGAGGGGAAGGCAGCAACAAGCTGTAAGCTTTAAGCCAGGTATGGGAAATCATCCTCATCATACCTAGAAACTCCTCATTTGGAACCCCAGATATGTAAGTAGCACAGGAAAAGTTAAGACAGATGCAACTAGGAACCTTTTTGGTTGTTTTGGTTTGTGAATTCCTCTGTGCTAACCCCATGTGCTTTTGCTTTGCTTGTAACCTTTAAGCTAAACCCCGAGAAAGTTATTTTTGGTGTTTAATCCCTGAAGCCTGAGTTTTCAGATGTTTCTTTCTTTTTTAATAAAATTTACCATTTTTTTTTTTAAAGAATCCTTTGATTCCAAAGTCCTTAGACAAGGGGTTGGTCTGTGCTCACATTGCTAAGGCAATTGGTTGGTATTTTATTCTCAAGCCTCCCCAGGAAAGGGGGTGAAGAAGCTTGGGGGGGATATTTTCGGGGGATAGGGATTCCAAGTGACCCTTTCCTGAGTATTTGTGAAAATCACTTGGTGGTGGCAGCAATATCTGTACAAGGCAGAAGACTGTGTCTTGGAAAAGTTTTAACCTAAGCTGCTAGAAGATAAGCTTAGGGGGTCTCTCATGGGGGTCCCCACATCTGTACCCCAGAGTTCAGAGCTGGGGGGGTATACCCTGGCAGGAGCATTGGAGGGAATCACAAACCCCCCTCTATCTAATAATAATGTAGCTAGTATTGACCCTTTACTTCTAATTATTAGTCAACAAATATATGCAGGCATATTCTCAGTGTTACATCATAGGCAACTGAAGAGCAAGTGAGGGCTGGGGACTCAAACTCATAATTTATACTGGCTACTGACCATCTCCAGAAAGGTCAGTAGCAAACAGCTCTTGGAGCACATTTTGATAGGAAATTTTTTCAGTCCAAAAATTTAGACCATTTCTAATCACTAAAGCTCCATAAGCATTTATAAGGCCATACTGTCCTTTACCAGTGGGAAAGGGGGAAGGGATTGCTTCATGTGGTGCTTCCCAGATGGCTACATTGATTTCCACTCCCCCCCTCTTTTAACACTTTGAGTCACGGAATGCCCAGCTGCATGCTCCGTTCAGTAAATTCATTGGTCTAGCAACAGGTGAAAAAGAAGAGTCCTCTCCCAGCTGAGTACTGAACTTCAGATAAAATGAGAATCTGTTCACTGTATGTCTTATTTATTATGGGCCAAAGGCCTTTAGAGGATGCTATTGTCACATATATTTGAGTAACTTTGACACATTGTTTAATAGAAGGCAATGGTGGCACATACACACCAATCAGCACATTAAAATATGCAAGCTGAAGTGTTTCTCCACTCTGGAAGGTGACTCATTTGAAAATAGAACCTTCTTACTTCACAGACGTACTGCTAGAGTGTATCTATTCACTTTGGTGAGAAAACTGTTTACTCCTGTTAGTTCGGCAGAACCAATCTAGCTAGAGAACACTAGCTGTTTCCTATACTTCCTTGTGCATCATAAATAGAATTGTTTGACTTGCTTACACACTGAAATCCACTGAAAACAATGGTGTTGCACCGAGGTTAGTGGGGGCCTGTCTGCAGAGCCTTTATTACTGCTGATACGCAAACAGTTAAGAACCCAGGTGTGTCCCAGATCTCAGGCTGACTTTTTCAGGGCTGTTTCAAATAAACCTCATCTTATTTATAAACTGAGCATGACTGATTTGGAAACTTGTGAGTCACATGAACTACAGAGACCCAAGATACCATTTTGTGAGTCACTTTTCAGAGTAGAACAGTTTTCAAGGGCCCTCCTGACTATTTAAGTCTGAACACTGAAGCTTATTTTCAATAGCTTTACTCCCAAGATGGCAGTTACCAAAGAACTAAATACTCAGAGATGTGGTAACCATTAATGTTCATGAGGTGTAATTGTAAGCTTTGATCATGAATGTTCAGGAGGTGAGATGCAGTGCAATGTGTTTGGTTAACCTTAATTTAGGGGCATAGGCTACAGTGCAGCTCCTTGTTGCCTCCTAGCTGCCAGAAGCCTTTGGCTGGGAAAGCTTCGTTCAGCTCTTCTCAGATGACCAGAAAATGTCTAACATCCCAACAGACAACCCTTCCAAGATGAACCTGTGGGCAGAGAATTTCTCTCAGCAAGTGAAAAAGAATTTGGCCCCTTTCTTTAGGACATGGGGGTGGTCTATTAAGGTGGAAGTCTCCAAGAAACTGGAATCTCTGCCCAACTGGGATGAGAACCCAGTGAAAAAGATTGACTTAGTCATGAGAAATATTAGCTGTAATGTTGTAAAGATCTTTGACAGTTTTATGTTTCCTAAATATAATAAAACTGTATTAGACTCTCCAGGGTGTAAATGTACTATCTGTTTCAGACTTAGATACTATGGTGATGGGTATGGTTTATAAGTACCTAGAGAGAGAGGTACAGGAACTCCTCAGTTAATGTTGTAGTTATGTTCCTGGAAAATGTGACTTTAAGCAAAACGATGTTAAGCGAATCCAATTTCCCCATAAGAATTAATGTAAATGAGGGGGTTAGGTTCCAGGGAAATTTTTTTCACCAGCCAAAAGACTATATATATACACACACACACACACACACGCAGTATAAGTTTTAACTAAACAATTTAATACTGGTACATAGTGATGATGATGATGATTGTGAAGCTTGGTTGAGGTGGAGGAATCGGAGGATGGGATATTTCCCAGGGAATGCCTTACTGCTAAATGAACTAGCAATTGACTGAGCCCTCAAGGGTTAACTCTCACAATACTCTACAAGGCAGCAGGAAAGGAGGGAGGGCAGACAGACACACACACCCTGTGTGTGAGAGAAAAAAATGCGCATTTTCCCTTTAAATAGCTGACCCCACGCTTAAGTACACTGCCTTGTTACTTAAATCAGCTTGCTGAGACCTGAGAGGGCAGCTATTGCATAGAAGCTCCCTCCCTCCATTGTGTCCCCCCTGCTCTATGGAAGATGGGGTAAGCGGGGTGCAGGAGCAAGGGGGAGGGGGAAACACCCTGACATTAGCTCCCCTTTTCCCTCCTCCTCCCCCTGTACAGCAAGCAGGAGTCTCTGGGAGCAGCTCCAAGGCAGAGGGCGGGAGCAGCTCCAAGGCAGAGGGCAGGAGCAGCACATGGCAGTGGGGGGAGGGACAGCTGCTGCACAGGGAACTTAGGGGAGTGGGGAACTGATAAGGGGGCTGCTTGTCCACCCTGGTTCCAACCACCCACCAGCTAGCTGCAACGGGCTGCTCTTCCTGCAAGTAGTGGACAAAACAGGCGGCTGCCAAACGCCGTTAGAAGGGAGCATTACACAACTTTAAACGAGCATGTTCCCTAATTGATCAGCAACTTAACATCGAAACAACGTTAACCGGGACAACTTTAAGTGAGGAGTTCCTGTATTTCCTGGATCTGCTTTCTTGGTCATGTGAGACAAATATCTATCATGCACCTGAATTTTCTTCTGAATATGCTGATTCCTTTCTCTTTAAGGAAGCAAACCTAGGTCCTGACTGTGGCATTTAGTGACTGGCCTGAACTGGGGATTGTACAGAACTATGCACCTTCAGTAGGCACAATCCTCGCTCCCAGCTTCCTGATGTATGGTGAGCATATATATGGGGAAATTGAGGGGACACCTCTATCAGGGCTCCAGTGCATGGTTACATGTTTGTCCTGGAAACAGGACATGTGCAACCAGGGTAACCCCTTAGCATTTTTATGGAAGGAAACCCATTGTATGTACATGACTCCTGCACCAGAGATAAGAGACTGGAAAGAAGCAGTGAGAGAGGGCTAGGCTTGTGGCCGAGAGCAGGTCAGCTTGAGAGGGGGTAGCAGTAGTGTTGGCTCTGTGACTGCATTTGGGTGGGAGGGGGACTGGAAGAAAGTTACGGGTTTTGTGCATCTGCCAGTATTCTGGGGTGGACGCTTAGCTTTGTAAACTGTTATAGTTTTTAGGAAGAATGACTGGCATTATGGAGATCACTTTGTAATTGGGTGGACTAGAAAGACATTGTGATGTTGTGCAGTCTATATGGTTTTAGAAAAATATGGTAATAAGTGAATATAACGTAACTGGGATATGCTTCATGCAAAAGGTCTCTTGTAAGGTATCATTACAAAGCTTATAATCTACTGAGTGTGATCATCCAATTTGTATAAATGTACCACTCTTGTATCTAAAACTAGATATATAAAATATAACTCTGAGGGCCTATTGTAATTATGTAAAGTGTGGGCCATTAATGATGGTTTGGAATCTTGATGACTCCCATTAACAAGGACCATTATCCGCAGATGGCTGTGTTTACCTGTGAGTCTTCCTGTATATGTGTGTGCTGGCAAGTGGGCAATGAAGTCTTGCAGTGACATGTGATCATGTCACCTGAACTGGAATCCATCTTCAACCTGGTGCTTTTCCAGTGAGAGGGGGTGGAAACCCAGAGGGACAAAGGGTTCCCGCCTTATGCAAAAGATATATAAAGGGGTGGAACAGAACAAAGGGGAGAGAGGAGCCATCATGAAGAATCCCCTAGCTATCACCTGAGCTGGAACAAGAGCTGTACCAGGGGAAAGAATTGTGCCCAGGCCTGGAAGGTGTCCAGCCTGAGAAAAAACTTACTGAAGCATCTCTGAGGGTGAGATTATCTGTATTCAGTTTGATTAGACATAGATTTGCGCATTTTATTTTATTTTGCTTGGTGACTTACTTTGTTCTGTCTGTTACTACTAGGAACCACTTAAATCCTACTTTCTGTATTTAATAAAATCACTTTCTACTTAGTAATTAACTCAGAGTATATATTAATACTTGGGGGAGCAAACAGCTGTGCATATCTCTCTATCAGTGTTATAGAGGGTGAACAATTTGAGTTTGCCCTGCATAAGCTTTATGCAGGGTAAAATGGATTTATTTGGGTTTAGACCCCATTGGGAGTTGGGCACCTGAGTGCTAAAGACAAGCACACTTCTGTGAGCTGTTTTCAGGTAAACTTGCAGCTTTGGGGCAAGTGATTCAGACCCTGGGTCTGTGTTGGAGCAGACGGGAGTGTCTGGCTCAGCAAGACAGGGTGCTGGAGTCCTGAGCTGGCAGGGAAAACAGGAATAGAAGTAGTCTTGGTACGTTAGGTGGCAGCTCCCAAGGGGGTTTCTGTGATCCAACCCATCACAGACATTACAAGGGTTGAGCTCCCAGATGATGATGGCTTTCTTGCAGTAGCATTGGCTTGGAAGTAACTGACATAAAAGGAGCCAGGCAGGAGAATACTGGTCAGATCAACATGTAGCTTCTAAGCTGGATGTTTCATATTAACTTTTGTGTTTTGTTAGCATTACAATATAATAAAATCAGAATGATAACTTCCAAGGGAATTCACTGGATCAGGGCCTACCATTATGCTTCAGTCTCTGCATTTTATGGGCAGACCAGATCATTCCTTATTGCCCATAAAACAGGGAATTTAATTAGTTCCTGAAGTCTCAGTCAAATTAAATGGAGGAACAAACTACCGGGTGTTTGAATGAAGGAAGAGGTACTGTATACTGAGTCTTCCAACTGGCACAAGATTTTAATTCATTTTAATAATCTTTTAGAACAGCAGAGAATGCATCAAAGGTTTAATTATCACTCATTTTTCAAACAAACAAGGAAATGTAACACCTATTAAAATGTATCATAAAATACACTGAACAAAAAGGGAAAAAAATCAAGCCCCCTGAATGGTAATACAGTATAACAAGATGAGTTGGGTAGCTTAACTCAGAGGAAACTGACTAATCCCAAGCACCCAGGAAGTCACTGTAATAATTTTTTGGCTCAATTAAGAGTGCTAATGCAAGAAGATCTGAGGCTTTCAAGAAGGGAAGGAGGATGTAAGAAGTTCTGCCCTGCATTTCCACTGCTGCTGCAACTTCTCACTGACTTTGTGTCCTACACTCCATGGGTGCTCAAAATTTGTAATAAGATAAGTTTTAATGCTACAAAACTTTAACAATTTTAAGTCTTGGGGAGAAAATGGCCATGATGGTCTAAAATAGAAGCCCTGAGTTAACCCCCTAAATCTACATTTAGGCATCTGCCCAACTTTCAAAATCTTGGCCCAGGTTTTTTTTTTAAAACTTAGTGAAAATATAACCATCAATAATGTTTGTACTAATGTACTGTGTTGAACAGCTATTAGCAAACTGCCCATCTGGTGAGAGGAGACCCTCTGGAAACCAAATGGACTCCTTTTTCAGGTATGCTGGAAAGCTTTTAGACACGTTCTTACCAAGCACTCACTGTGCATCCCTATGGGATGGGTTGTAGAACATTTTGTAGGGATCATGGCAGGAAGGAGATGGGGTGTGGGGGATGGAAAGGATGGTGTGCTGCTCCTGGGAAGTGTTGGGTGTCCTCATCAGTGAACCTGCATATTCATAGTGAGTATTAACTGCTTGAGCTGTCCATCAATCATCTAGCACCACAGGGTCAGATAAGAGTTTGTAGCTGATCAGGAAGTATGGATAGCATTGATAGCTATTGAAGATCACATAAATATTTGGACTGGTCACATTATCCACACATGAGTCAAAGCATTCCCTACCAGACTCTATTTGTGGAGGCTGCCAATAGCGCTTTTTCCCGCGTGTACATTTGCCGCCCAATACTTTGGCCAAGAACATGTGGCGCGGCCCACCCTTTCCTGCCTGGGCATAGCGGTCAGCCTGGTCTGCGCTCACAGTGAAATAGCAACCTCTGCCATACATATGTGATCCTGAGAGGTGAGTGTCAAACTTTATCTGGCAGGCAAACCCCAGGCGTTTGGCTGAGGTGCTGTGGAAGAGGTGCTTCTCTAGCCTCAATTTCTCCTCTGCTGAGAGGCTCTGTGACATTAAATCCTTCTGGCTGAGGAGGGAGCAAAGGAGAAACAAGTGTGGTTAGTTACTGACCTATGGGGAAACTTGTTACTTCCCCAGCACCTCAACCAGGAACCTAATCCCATCTCCACTCTGTGTGTCCGTCTTTTTGCTTCCTCAACATGTAGAAAACAAGTTGTAGGCTAAATGCCTCTCTCCATTAACCTGGAGTTCAAGTTCAAATAATCTAATCACTCACTCTGAAAAATGGAAGTGGGGCTACAGAAGCTCACCAAACTTCTAGATGCTCTAGCCCTCTAAACCTGGGTAATAAGCACAGTTGTATACAGCATGTGTAAGAGTAGGAGTGTTGCTCATGCATTTGCAGTTGTAATTCCTGTAACTTCTGTCTGCATCAATAAATCACCCTTCATTTAAGAAATTAAATTTGACCATCTCACTTATTCCCGCCTTCACACGGTGAGGCTTCAGCTTCATCCCAAACCTGAATATCATTTGTGACTCACTGTGTCTTTCTGGCTACCATGGAGGTGGTGACAGAGAGGCAGAGTTAAGGTTGTTTAAGTAACCTTAACCATGTATTTCTGCACTCTAGCCCTCTTTTTAAAGAATAATCACACCACATGTGGAGGCTGGCCATTTAAATCCCACACTGGAATGTAGATATTGACATTGTGCTGATGCATGGTTCAGATGTTGGAAATGTAAATCCTGGCACTAGTACCATGTGCTGCAGATCTGCACCCTGGGACTTAAGCCCTGAAATTCACAGTCCTTGTTTATGTATGCAGCAAGATCCCACAGTGCTCAAACAGGTCTTTCTTCCCATCTCTGAATATAGCAGGATCTGCACAGTGGGGCATTTAGCACCTGGATTCACTCATCCACCTCCTACCTACTGCAGGATCCACACACTAGCACATTAGCAATGAGATACAGATTTCCAGTCCTCAGAGGGCTCATATTTTTGCATCCCAGGCAATAAGCAACACAATCAATACTTCCACTCTGATCTAACCCTCTCTCTCTCTCTCTGTCTGAAACCCTCTGGAACAGCATCAATTTTACCTGCAGTATTTTTGCCAGAGAAAGTCATTCCGGATCCTGTGAACTGAGAGCAGAAGAACTTTGTCCTCTGAGAGAGACTTGTGGAAGAGGGTGTAAATGGTGTGGTACGCTGCTTCTGATGGCAACACCTCTTCCTGCACAAATGGGACACTGCCTTCTGGACGCTTGATCCAGTAGGCAGGATATGGGCCATTGTAACCATCTGTAGGATCTTCTCCAGGGACGTTAGAAGTGGGAGAATAATGCATTTCTGAGGGGCTGCTTGGAATTGTCCTAAAGTGAGAATAAGACACAATTTAATTCATCCTAGCACCACTTAGATGCCATTAGTGATGGTATCACTTGTGGCGTTCCTTACCACAGCTGTGGCAGCATCTGGAGGGGTGAGCGATAAGTGGGCCGGAGCTGGATAGTGTGGCTGTTTCCTGTATTATGGTTGTATATTAGACTCTGCTTGAAGTCCATGGTGTAGCGGTGGCCTCGCAGCTGGAAGACATGCTCTTGTGTGCAGTCTTCAAAGGCAGCAAGGAAATCATGCGAGAGGGGCTGAGAGGGGAGAGAAAGGGAGAGCTGCAGTTACAGTAGCTGGAAGAAGG